CTACAGCACAGTCGTCAAATTATCAAAGGAAGCAAGACCTGTAGAAGTAACCATTTCCTCCACATTTGCATAAAGACTTGGCTCGTACTTTGACATATCCACATAGTGCTGAAAAAAAGGGAATCAAAAAGCATTCAATACTGCAACATTCAAAATACGTAATTAGGAAATCCTAACAACAGAGACCCTTACTAAATAAAATAAACAAGCCTTCTTATTGTTCAAGACTATGTACACATTGATCATGAAGCTCCTACACATTATTTCTTAGAGTAGAAAACTCACATTAGCTCCTACTAAAACATTCTTGAAGAATAGGTATAGCCCTTTCACAGTAAAATTTGATACTGTACAGCTTATTTCTGTCCTCTACCAGTTACTTTGAGAAAGTTGTGCCCTTACGGTTCACATATGGAGGTTTGCCATTTGCGACAATTGTCGATTTTAAGCCACGCAATGGATTAAATCTGGTATGACTAAATAGCACGCTTTTTGAGATGGCATGGATAGACAAGCAAATCAGGAGTACTTTGTATAATGTTAATAGTCACCTCTTCTTGCAAAAATCCAGTCATTACTTCATGAAGATGATCGAACGTGGGTCTAGCGTCAGGGTCTTCTTTCCAACAATCCGCCATAAGCTGATATCTACAGATTAGGGGTATCGAGGAAAAAAAAACAGAACCAAAAATTTATTGTCGACCAGGTAGTTTGATCATCCGTATGACTGTTTATATTTTTTGGCCAGTTTCGTCATTGCCTTTGAGAACCATTAAGGACTTAGGAGGCATTTGTCAGTTTTGATTGGCCAGGTTCAATGGGTCCGTTCAGTTCTAAAGTTTTATTCACTATTCAGTTATGTTGCTATTTTTTAAAGAAATTTGTTTTAAGATAGCTAAAAAGATAACTTAAAATTATTTTCTTGCTTCTTGTAGGGATATAATTTAGACAACAATAAAACATAAAAATCCATACGAGTCACCAATCTTATAATATTGGTTAATTCGCACTTACAGCTCATCACTGACATGTTCTGGTTGAGGCATCCGATATTTGTTCACTTTCAGTTCATACACAACTTTCCATTCGTTCCACCCTGGATAAGGTACACCTCCTATTAAAAGTAATGGCATTACGTTCGATATATTTGGACGGGAAACCAGGAACACTGGGTTTATTACACAAAACTGAGGTTTATGGTTATTGCCGGATATTCTTCCGTTTATACCCAAGGAGACTCATAGGTAAACATGGAAGTCTGGATTTGATGTACTCGACTTAATTTTCGTGACGCACGTCCAAATGTGATGAAAACAAATAATGGGTGAATGATGGATTTCCCTTTTCTTTTAAGAAATGGACTGATATTTCTATGGGTTAAGAGCAGTTTCAACTCAAGCCCGGAAGCGGTAACTGCAAAAAGTGTAACCGCGAGGGTGTAGAAAAAGTGACGAGTTTTGGAGAAACCGTCATTCAGAAGTGCCTAACGACAAACAGTAGAGGTTTCATGAACAGTGTCAATACTGCATTTTAAGGTACACTTATCGCCGAAGGTTATGCAACTCACCTAAAGTAAATATTTCAAACAGAACAATGCCGTATGACCAACTATTTTAAAAAGAGAAAATATAACAAAGTGAAATTAACAAATAATTATAAAATTTTTTGTTCTCATTGGTCGAGAGACAGTGAAATGACGTTATATCACTCCACAAAACCACGGACGTCGGCTTTAGCCGAAAGGTAACATTTTTCAAAAAGAAATGGCGCAAATCACTTGTGAAGGCAATGCCATACGACAAGCATGAGTTTAAAAAAAATAGCAATGAGCAAGAAAAAGATTCAAGGTATTTTCGAGGATCTCGTACAAGTGCATTCACAGACCTTTTAGAATGAAAAGTTAAAAAAGAATCGAGCTAAAACACTCATTAGAAAGCTCAAGGAAAAAAATTTCAGTTTCATTAACCTTTTAACTCCCAAGATCTCATTAGTAATTCTCCTTACTGTTTTCCACGTAGTTCTTCTGGTGTTAGTTTGGAGAATTTGGTATTGTATCAACTAATAATCCCCTAATTAAGACCTTTCTTTGTTCTCATCACTTATCTGCTTGATATTGTGTTGATATTGTAAGGAGAAATTCTGTCTTGGTCACTCATGGGAGTTAAATGGTTAAAAGATGACCCTTAGCTAGTTAACTTACACATCACTTTTCTCTGACACTCTGACGTTTTTTTCGTCAGAACCTTTAAAAAGATGCTCAGGAGCGGTCCACTTGATCGGGAGGCGACCCTATGAATTGGAAAACGATAACAAAATCAGTTAATGAAACTAAATAAGAAAACACTGCAATAGTAAGTATGCACAAATAAAAAAGTTGATTAAGTGTTAGTTCGAGTCATTGTCTTTGTTCCTCCATGAAAAGCGATTAAAGTCACCCATTCAGAGAAGTTAAAGATCTTACAAGTACAGGTACCTTTCTAACGGCTGTGCAATAAAGATACTGCTGATATTTATCCCTTATCAGAGCCAGTCCAAAGTCGGTAATTTTACAAATCCTGTCTGCTCCCAACAGAACGTTTCTTGCAGCGAGATCACGATGAAGGATCTGAAAATTACAGAATTGCTTTGAGCGGAAATGCATAGGCAACGCAAAGCTGAATGAAGAAATGTAAAATGGTTTCCGTGTTTACATAGGCTGATGTAAACACGCGGGAGGTTGGGAGAACACGAGATAAGCGTAGGAAACCACGAAGCGGAGTGGTTTCCAGCTTATCGAGTAAACACGTATGTAAACACGGAAACCATTTTACATTTCTTTTATAAAATAACTAATGAAAGAGGAACGAAAACCGTGTTTACATACGCTCATGTAAAATGGTTTTATGGCCAATCAGAGCGCGCGTACTATTTGAATTATTTTATAAATAGTGCTTCTCGACCGGTGTTGTTAAACCATAGTAGCTACAACTGTTGGCCATAAAAAGGAAGAGTACATCAATCAGCCTTCGGGGAACCGAAGTATTAACTTTCCTTAGGAAGGTGTTGAGAAATTTTGAGACCAGTTGCGAATCGTAGGAAAAATTAAGGGAAATTTCTATTTACATTTGACGAAGAATGTATACATCTCAGACATTTCCTAGCGTTTAAGCAAACACATACTTTCTTTGATGCCAGAAAACTCATTCCGGAAGCAATCTGTTGTGCAAAACTAAGCAGATCGTATGAAGTCACTTCCTGCTGGCAACACTCTGGGGAACAATAGAACTGATCTTCCACTCCTCTGCTTTTCCGGAGGTAGCCAAGCACATCCCCGTATGGAGTATATTCCAAAACCAACATCATAGGTGCTGTAACGTAACAACGATACTTATAAGTATGTGAAATAAAAGAATAGCTGCAAAGAGCAAAAAATGAAAAGAAGAATGATCGAACGAACGAACGAACGAACGATCAAACAAATGAATGAATGAATGGATACAAGAAAAAGGGAATACACTGATGAACAGAGGAATGAATCGAAGAAATCAAAATACAAAGAGTGAAATACATTGCATTCTTGGTTTCATCTTATCGTTCCAAAACTTCCCTATCGCGTGGTGGGTTTGGAGGATTTTGGATGCGACACAGTAAAATTTACTTGATCTTCCACAAGGCTCTGTAATATTTTTATGACCTCCCCTCGTTGGCAGTTCATTAGTTGTCAATATTCTACATTTCTTCCTTTATACTCTACTGAAGACAAATAATACGCCCTCCTTTCCCCCGGAATATCATGCTCCCCCCCCCCCCCAGATTCTCCACCCCCTCTCCTCAGCCGACAAATGATGTCTGGTCTCCAAGAAAAAAACATGATTCGACATGACACTTTAAAAATTCACTACTTAGACACTCACTGCATGTGGAAACACACGCCAGGAAATTAACGATATTGGGATGTTTGTCTCCACCGAAAGATTTTCCCAATTCAATTTCCTGCGCCAATGATTCCTGTTCGTGGTCAGAACAGTTACCTGTTATCGTAATGTGCAGACAAAGAAATAGATAAATAGGTAAAAATATATTATCCACTGGTCTACATCGAACACTTGAATTGGAAATTTACAGTGACTGCTCGTTCGCATTTTCATTGAAAACTTGGCGGAAACTAATTGCGGAGATCTGTTTTGAGAGACGGCACTTATCAAGAATATAAAATAATATATAGATTTAGCCAAGCCTAAAAGCAGAGCTCGCTTTTTTTTCCCCGTACGTCGCAAGGGCACAACGCCCCGGTAAGGACTAGAACCCGGGTCGTCCGACTTGGAGCCGAGTGCACTGACCACTGGACTACTGAACAAAGCCGCGACGTTGGCGTGCCCGCGGTACAGTTGACCACGCATGTTAAAAGTAGCACCTTGTACGGTCGTACGGCCGTACGGTCGTACATCCAAATTTTTTCGGCTTGATGGGTAACTACTATTTTGTATAATTATGAGGCTACGCTCTGCGAGCTCCGCTATTACGTAACTTTGAAATTATTTCAAACATATGATATATTGTCAATAGATTGTTATATATAAATTATGATTTATATACTTTTAATATTAAAAATAACATATTTAAGTTATGAAAAGTCAAGAATATAAAATAATATATAGATTCAGCCAAGCCTAAAAGCAGAGCTCGCTTTTTTTCCCCGTACGTCTCAAGGGCACAACGCCCCGGTCAGGACTAGAACCCGGGTCGTCCGCCTTGGAGCCCAGTGCACTGACCACTGGACTACTGAACAAAGCCGCGGCGTTGGCGTGCCCGCGGTACAGTTGACCACGCATGTTAAAAGTAGCACCTTGTAGGGTCGTACGGTCGTACGGTCGTACATCCAAATTTTTTCGGCTTGATGGGTTACTACTATTTTGTCGGGATAATGAGGTTGCGTCGTTTTTTCCTCTCATAATATTTATTCTGCTCTACTTCAACGTATTTCAAACTCTTGATATATTGAAAATCGATTGCAGACTATATAAATTATGATTTATATACTTTTAATATTAAAAATAACATATTTAAGTTATGAAAAGTCAAGATTCCGAATACCCTCGAATTCCTTTCTTAACTTAGTCGTAAACCACGTTTATGTATTATTTATATTTTTTCAAATGTAGAAGACCTTTCCTAAATGTAATAAATTTAGGCCTTAATTACGTTTCAGTCTCTTGACAGCCACTGTAGTCTCTTCAGGGTGTCCTTTCATTCCGTAGACCACAGCTTTCCAAACCTCTCCAAATGCCCCAGTTCCAAGTATGCTTTGAAGGTGAATTTGTTTTGGGGTGATCTCCCAGCAAGAAGCAGTAACGGAGAGATATCGTGTGTCTGTGTCACTAGGTAAAATGGAAGGAGGAAACTATGATAAGTTCTAACTACTTAAATTGCCCACACTTGTTGGGAAGTAGTCTCCATGTCAAAAGATCAATATAAATATTGCTTGGATTCTTTTCCAGAACGAGGAACTGGTTTATCGACGGCTACGCTCGCCAGCACTTTACCATTAACCCACGTTCGGACGGCATGCACTTCTAAAGTCTAGGAGATGTTCAATTCATTCATCACCTTCGTAATCAATGATCACCTTTACCCCTCTCCCCCCTGTTTTTGCTCACTTCTACACTTCTACCATCAGTATTTTTCTCTCCTCCCATTCCAGTTATTCGTTCTTTCCCGTTTATTTGGATTGACGATGCTACCCTAAAAAGATCCATAAAAATTAAAGATAAACGACTAGATGAATGATTAATATTGAAAATAAATGCCGTTTCCTATTATCAACAACCTGAAAATGAACACATCACTTCTTACCATACTTCGTAAATTAACAATCTGTGACTCTACCTTGGTAAAGTGAAATTTTCCAAACGATCAACGTTTCTTAGGGCTAAAAAAAGCGAAAAGGAAGTATGTTAACATTTTTTACAAGGAAATCCTTTATGTCATTCGAGAAAACAGAATTGATTCATTAATTCTTTCCATTAACATCTAGATGATACCATCTCTATCATTTCATCGAAAGGAAAGAACATACTGCTATGCGATATACTAATAATACGATAACTACTTTCCAACTACTATTACTAGTGCTAGTACGACAACAGCTATATTACTGCCACTGTTATACTACTCTACTACTACTACTACTACTACAACTACTACTACAACTACTACATATACTACCACCACCACCACCACCACCACTACTACTACTACTACTTGAATATGAAAGTGATCCTCGCAGTAATGGACACTACTTGAGCAGTAGTGAAAATAAGGCCTGAATTTGAACTGCGGATGAAGGCGTGAATCTGAAAGCGATCCGCGCACTAATGAACACTACTTTAGTGTTTACTTTATTGCGACAGGTTTCTTAGATCAAAAACAAGAGCGGTGAAGGGAAAACGTTTGAAACGTCAGCTTTAGAATCTCTCGACGGAGGCTGACTCACGTGATCAACTCAGTTGATACAACCAGCTTATCTTGTAATACCCGCAACCGACGCAGCACCACAGTTTCTGTAGAAACTGACGCCCTCCCCCCTCCCGCACCTTTATTCAAGCTGTGCTTGTTTGGTTATGTTGACCATACCTGAAACTCGTCTCTTATGGTAGAAAAAGCAGACAAGGATGCCAAGACACAGGAAACCTGACACAATACTCAGAACGATCACTGGAACGGTCTTTCCGCCTTCTATAATCATAAGCAAAATAGTAAAAATGTTAAACGAAAGGACACGAGAGAGCATCAGGTAGATAAATGCAAGTAAGCATAGATTACTCTTCACGCACACCTGTAATCAATAACAAAATTGTTCGCAGTTCGTCTTTTCATATTTTCTGTTGGTCTTTCTGTCCATCTGCACGTCCAAAAATTTATGTCCAATAGTCATCATCAGTTACTAAGAGATGGTTAATATAGAATGACCACACCACTTACTGGTCACATTCAGAAAGATGGAATCCTTATCTCAATCGATTGAGGAATTTGCTTAACAAGTGTACCGCCCTGAGTGGAGACAGCCTCGATATTCAAGTAAAATTGTTTATGCGACGACAATTCTGTATCTACTTCACCAAGGGAAAATGTTTCCTACGGCTAATTATCTATTTCTTTTCTCCACTCTGCTGTCATGGGGACTGTTATCTGTGGAATCTCGCAAATTAATGATGCTTTTTGACCAACGACGAACTCAGTGTGTTGATCTGGGAAAATAGACACATCGAAATCCTCCGATGAATTCGTGCCTAATTACAAACGATTAACCAGCGTCAGCAGAATTATTAGTATTCTAAGAGGAAGGCCATTAAAACGAGGGGCAAGCAAACGAAACTGGCTGTTAGCGATAAGCTATAAGTTGATGAAGGCAGGTTAGTAGCGATAACGACTTCTTAAAACTTTTCCTTCCGTAACTTTTGTTACGCCTCTACTGAAAAAGCCAGGACCTGATTTGGATTTAAAAAATCTGTGCTGTGTAATCTTTCATTCATTTTCAAGGGGAAAATGCTGCAAACATTTAGACTCATTTCTACTTGATCTTGAACAGTGTGTTCTCATTGGTGATAAAACCTCCGATGACTTTTATCCTAACTGCAGAGTACCACTGGGTGGTTTTATGGATCATATTGCATTTATTTGCTATAACTTCGCCAATTTGATATTATTTCTCAGTACCTTGCCTTTCGTCCATTATTATACTGATGACAGTCACATCTACCTTTCCTTCAGATTTACGCTAGTCACTCGAAAATAAACGCAGTTTCTGTGATCAACAATTGTATCGCTGATGTTCGTTCTTGGTATACACTGCCAATCCTTTAATGATCAACGATTCTATTGTCGTTGGTGACACCGTCATTAAGCCTTTGAGTACCTTGGCTGATGCTAATACACGGATGGATGTTAATATTAATTTATCCAAAATAGATAAATGTAATGATTTGGTCGTCAAGTCTTTGCGCGTTTGACATATGCACTTGATGATTAACTTCATAATTCTACTTCAAAAGATTACTGAACTTCGTAAATTTATTTAAATATATTTTGTTAGAATTTAAAAAAGAAGACAAGAGTAAATTAAAGAGAGTGTCTCCAAGAATTTCTTTATACTGAAAGCAACGGCGCATAAAATGAAATTGATATCAAAGCCTAGTTTTTTCGAAAATAAGTGTGGCAACTGTTTGATAAAAGGAGAAGGAATGAAACAACTTGCCAGTTCCTGAATCGGTTCCATATTCATTTGTAGAACTCTCCTTTGTAGTCTCCAGAGGACCTGTGTGAACAACTGGATGGATCGTAGCGATTGCAATGAAGTGATAACATTAGTTTTCAAAGAAACTGTTGAACTACGTCGGCAGACATTTGAAACAACATCTTAGTTTTCAACTATTACATGTAGCTGATAAAGATGAATCAGAAGAGTTGATGTTTTGGGTGTTAGCCCCTCGTTAGAGCAAATTGGGAAACTATGGGTTGTGTTTTTGTCATACAGTGAAGAATGGAGTTATTCTATTACTGTAAACATGGTATAGAGTTTTTCTCCGTACCAGAAAAATTTCCCAACCACCGGAATTTCTGTCTAACGTTGATATGGTATGAAACGATGGGTATACGCTGTAGGCTGGAATGGCCAGAAAGCCCTCTAAACCTATCAGCAAAAAAGCGATTATTACGTCAAAAAAGTTGGCAGTATTTACCCTCTCTGCTTTTATCAAAAATTTGCCTGAATCTATTTACTTGTACCTTTACATACAGCGGTAACTCTGTGAGGTTCGTTACAATTAGTAATTATTCTTTGAAGAGTGCCACAAGTTGTGTTGCCATAACTGTGCGTCTGGATCATATCGCAGTTTGTATTATCCTCAGCTGACTCAAAGCCCCGGATCTGGCAAAGACTATCAGCAATGCCTACTGGATGGCAAACGGATGTCCGAGTGTTGTTCACATAAACGTCAAGCATCAGTTTAGCCGCAAAAGGGTCAATACGAGAAAGCCGCACTTTATAAGCTGCAATAAGACGACAAAAATTAAGAGAAAAATCGCCAATTTAAAACCATCACCTCGAAGGCAATGTCAATAACTACGATAGGCAATATACACAATGAATATTAACCACTTACAAGAACTGTATGGCACCGCTCTGCATACAAACAAGAACTGATTACGAAACGAAACACAACGATTTTATACAGTCATGCTTTTCACGGAAAAGAATAAGCCAATAAAAAGAATCAAATGGGCGATGATTACGCAACTAGTACAAAGATAAGAAACGAATCGAATTGTTTGTTTGTTTTTTTTAAGTTTTCGACTAGCTTTATTTTTGTCGTTGTTGTTACTCTATTTCTGCTTCTTCCTCTTCTTCTTGTGAAGTTTTGTTTTGTTTGAAAGGTTAACCTAAACTTGTAACAAGGTACAATATATATATATAGTCATCAATAGTGCAGCTGTACATTATACCTGAACAGTTTTCATGTGTTGAACACTCCCTAATCTCCATAATTTGGTCACCATCGCAACCTTTCGAACAATTCCTTAACTGAAATTTAACACTGCACAGACCAAAGCAGAGGCTCCAATTTGACCATTGCGAGAAAGCATCCCCAATTTTATTTTCACCTGAAAAACAAAAAACAAAAAAAAAAGGTTTTGAGTCAATATAAATCTGGAACAAATCTCGAACAATTTTAAACTATTACATGCAGCGACAAAAATTTTTTAGGAAGTCTGTAATTCGATTTTCCGTATTACAGTGCTCGATACGTAGAAGTAGAGTGCGATATATATTGAGATAGGGGAAAAAACAAAGACTATACTTCCATCCCTACAAGCCTGTTTCGTGATTACTCACTCATCAGGAGATTTTATTGTGATTTTATTGATTAAAATCCCCAGATGAGTGAGTAATCACGAAGCAGGCTTGTAGGGATGAAAGCATAGTCTCTTTGTTTTTTCCCCATCTCAATATATATATATATAGATAGATAGATAGATAGATAGATAGATAGATAGATAGATTTTTGTCAGGTACAGAGGACATCACGATAGGGAAAGAATATCATTAACAGCTATTGGCGTAGATAGTATATTATTAATGATTTCCTATAATAAATTCAAGAGGAGCATATCTCGGCGAGCTCAACTCTCGACTGAATAGCAGGTAATTTAGTGTTAACAAATGAGTTTCGAGCGTGCGTTTCGAGCGTACGTTAGCCCTTCGTCTATCGCTCTGAAGAAGGGCTAACGCTCGAAACGTCAGCTTTTTTACCCTTTACGGTGGCTAGCCTGCTATACTCTCCCACCGACGCAGCGCCACAGTTTTTTTAGTAACTTACCCCTTTATTCTCAACTGAATAGATTATATATCACCTACTTACGACTGAAGTGATGGTTAGAGCTAAAACTCCAGGATGAACGACCATAAAACATAGGGCTGCAATCTGTGCAAAGCTTTACATGTAACTCGTGCCAATGTTCTCAATAAAAAGTGTGAACGATGTTTTTAAAAAAATCACAATTCCAGAATAAAAGAAAACGTTGAAAGTTAAAAAAAAATACAATGTAAAGATAAAAGAAAATTCTATTACCTTGGAGTAATGTTTCCTTTGGAAATCCAAATAAAGAAATCCATAGACAAATGGAAAAGCACCGAGGCATTTTACCTGACTTTCACCATCCCGTTGCTTTTCCAGTATGAATGCAAATATAACTGTACTTTAAATATATTTTTCATCATTGATAACCCTTGACGTCGCTTTGTTTTCAAACTGAATGAAATTAAATAAATACAGCGGATAACAATGCACAGAACTCAATCATTCTGTACACAGATAAAACTCACCTAAAAACTTTTATGCCGTAATGTAAACACATTTCCGCTTGAGAATCAATAACCTTCAGCGTAAGACAAATTCTTTCAACGGTCTACAATGCATTACGATTAAAAATTTGATTTACTCGATGTATATTCTAACAGAGAGAATGAAAAATTGAAAGAGTTAAGGTTTATACGTATATAAAGAAAAGAATAATGCAGTTATTTTCACTTATATTGGGATTTCGACTTCAACTTCCGTTGCAAAAGGTAACATTTGATTGACTCATCTAAATGGAAGTTGTGAACGAACTCAAACAGAAGAACGATCCTCTTACATTTCTTTAATTAATTTTTTTAGACGCGACTCAAAAAAAACAAAAACTAGTCCATTTTACATTTGTGTGCTGAATTGCCGAGCCTTTGAACAGGAGTAAGGCTAATGGTGACCTTGTTATGATAGAAACGTTGCTGCTTTTCAAACGCATATTACTTTGTTATCATGCTAGCTAGATACTGGTCTTTATCACAACAAGGTCACCTTCAGTCTCACGCCAAATTAAAGGCCTATTAGCTCCCACCGCTTGTGCAACAATAACAACAAACATCTGACATAGGAATCCCTGGGAAGTCCATCTTGTCGTACACTGTAACACCTGTCACTCTGTCATAACACTTGTCGCACTTTTTAATTTAAAAAGATAATAATTAAAAACTTCGCGTAACAATAAATCATCTCACTTTATAAATTTTTGATATAGATCGTCAGAGGGTAGATAGACCTTATGATAACTACCACCCTTATCGGTAGTAATAATAATTCTAATAATAATGATAATAGTGAATCCATCAAATATATTTGCTCACGCGCGATTGGTCTAAACACACCACGTGTCCGAATACCCCCCAACTAAAACTGGTTGATATACGAAAACATCACCCAAGCGATAATTCCCCAACTTTATAAAACCTGACGTCTACTACGAGAAGTCTTGAGAGAGGGTTTTGTGGAAGGGAAGTCTTACCCCTAGCCACAAAAACCATAACCCCATTGAGACCCTCTATGATGATGATATTTTGTGAGCCAAATGTGAATAATTGAAACTTATTGTTGGCTTTTGTTGACATGATTTTGAGGATCGACAAAAGTCATTATAAGGAAGAATTTCATCATCCTTTCGGGTGGTATGTGCCAAGTTTTTGTTTTTCTGTATCAGTTAGTGTGATTCAGCAGCTTGCACTGACTTTGATAGGTCATGCTCTCCAGAGCAAATTGACGAGCAGAAACAGACTAAAGGCTCTTACTTGGTGAAGAAGACACAATAGAGAAGAAAACGAGACAAAAGATCGAGGAAAATAATGTTTTATTGTGACGTGTCCTGTAGCTTCTACACCAATAACATGGAGCCAAAAACAAAAAAAAAAGCAAAACAAGCCAGATTACTCTGAAAGCAAAATTGAATATTTTATTTCTGATTTTCAATTTTCCCGAGCAGCTTTTTTTATTGTATATGCATTAGGTTCTTCCGTGTTTATGCTCTAAATATAACTCATGGCGTTTCTAACGCCAACGCAAAGAACCTTTTGATCCAGCTGAGCGTTTATCGTGCAAATTCTCAGTTGTGTATGAATTCGTGATTTTTAATGAATTAAATAAAGGATCCAAATACTAGTAAATTTAGGAATTTTTATTTATCTTGGTCATTCTTGTGGGCAGTATGAAATATATGAAATGAGAATTTTGACAAGCTATTTAATCTGATAGAGGACATGCTGAGAGAGTTTTCCGGGATAAAAAATGCGTTTCGATCGCCTTATGTAATCACAACCCTAAACCCTAAAAGTATAACTTTTATAGGAATCATCATCCCTGGAATTCTTTTATATTCACTTTTTTCCTAATGCAAAACCAACTGTTTTTTTCTTTTACTTTCTTAAATCTCCGTTTACAGTCTTAGCCAACTAATCTAAACATCGTCGAAAACAAGAAACACAAGCTAATAAAGCCACGACTGTTGATATATCTCCTTCTAATCTGTCACGCTATATACTAACAGAAGCAAACTCTAAATCCAACTGTTCTTGATGGCCTACGGCGTCGGGTTTTGATGGAGAAACAGTTGTTATTTTTCCTCTAGGGAAGTTACTAAAAGAGAAAACTGATACTTGTGAGCTTACTGCCTGGTGAGTATTTTGTTCAGGTTTTAGTATGATCACGTAAATCTTTGGGACAAACATGCAGGTTAATATTCCATAGGAACTTAGAAGACTCATCGCGCATTTCAAGTTTGTTGCATATGAGCCATAAAGACCGATGTTAATGGGAAGATATCCCACAGACGACAGCAGCAAAATGTACATGGAAAATCCAATATATCTTGCCTCGTTAAAGTTTTCAGGTAATGATCTTGCTTTAAAAGCGTAAAATGTACAAACAACCGCGAGAAACGAAGTGTACACTGATATAACAATTTGCAATGCCATCCCAGTCGATGATTGATGTAAAGAACACGAGAGAAGATACATACCTTCAACTGGCTGAAAGATTCGTCTCTGATGTGGTGAATCTAAAGCAATCCATAAGGTTAAGAAAAGAACTTGCGGTAAGATAAATAGCAGAACGAGAAGTGATTGGCTCTTCGTAGATAAGATAAACTCTTTGAACCTCTTTGCGATAACGTTTATTTGGAACACACTTAGTATCTTCATAGTTTTAATTACTAATATGGAGATAAAAGTTACAAGTACCATGGAACGTAGACCATTCACCAAACTGCACATAAAGCTGGTAGGCTTAGCGAGAGATAAAATGGACACACAAAAAGACGTTGTGATGGTGGACATAAGAATTACACTTAGTTCACGGTTTGAAGCTTTCACCAGCGGTGTCATTCTAAATTTATAAAGGATGAAACTGCAAATGGCAACGAGAAGGAATCCAATTACTGCGAACACTATGACCAGGACAGATGCAAGACTTGACCATTTTATCTCAATTTCCGGGAGATCCAAGCATTCTGATCGACTATCATCGGGCGATTGTCCTTGGGGACATTCCGTACAATTCATATCATTTATACGACTACTTATAGTTCCAGTCGGGCATTTGAGACATTCCCAGCAACATGGGGTAGTGACTGACCTAAAAGTGCCCTTAGGACAATCTTCGTGACAGAAAGACTTTGGAACAAACGTTTGGTTACTGATTGTATTCCACCTGATACTACCGATGTTTAACTCTAGCTTTTTCTTGCGATTTTTTTCCCATGAACCGATAACCAGTTTTACTGGATCGTGGCTATCTAATGTGTCATTTGTTTTAAAATGGACGATGTCATAAGAAGACTCCAAAGGATCTCCGAACTTGTCAAAGCGGACCTGTCCCGTCATTCCCGTAAAGTTAACGACACGAAGATAATCCTCTACATATTTCGGGTTCAGCATAGGGAACAAATCGCTACCTGGTGTCTGAGACTTTTCACAACCCAGCCTTGAACAGTTATTCATGACATGAAGAGCGTAAGCAATAGCATAAACAGCATCCACAACATAGGGAATGTAAGTGTCGTATATTGTGCGAAGTACTATCTCTATACAATATTTTTGTTCACTGAGTGCTGGTAGGGAAGAGCAGTGTCTACTCTCCTCGCTCTTCCAAAATTCTTGCCACCAAGGAACTTGTTCACTTTTTATTAATCTGGACGATTCTTTGATTAAGAAATCTTTGAAATCTTTGTCATCTAACATACGGGGCTGTAAGCCCAGTGAGCCGTGAAGAATTTGTTGATCTGTCGTTTTTAACCCGACAAATACGTCATCTTCTGTTGCTAGAGCATCACTGAGGATCCAGGTGCGATCCATCAAGTTCTGTTCTACAGCTTCCTTTAGAAATCGTCGTCCGTAGCCGCCAAACAGCCATAAAACTACAACACGAATATTGGGATAGCTTTTGAGCTTGCTGACAGCCCTTTTCAGCTTAGCAATGTACTCTTGCCGGGGAATGTATTCGGCAAAGGACAAACAGAACGTCTTTCTGGCTTCGGCTTCAGACTCCAGCTTCCATACTCCATTTCGACCGTAAGAATCGTCCATTGCCACAGCAGCTACATAGCTCCAGTTAAAGTGTTGTATGAGGTCAGCCATTGCACTTGCCTGTTGTCCATCGGGAGGGGCAGTTCGAAAGAAGTGACGGTATTGCGGTGAGCTCAACTCGTTGCTTGTTGCCGAGTGGCTAATGACTGGAACTCCGCCCACTCGCAGCAGGCTTGCCACAAGAACAGCACTTCCAGAATCTGTCGGGCCAACGACTGCTGTTATTAGCTTTTCCTGGCTCTGCGTCATGTTCTTCTCGTCCGTCTGTTTACAACTAGCGTTTTGGGTTTCTGCAATTATTTCGTTTTTCCGTATAAAGTCATAAGTGTGTTCCATTGCCTTTGCAGCACTTTCACAGTAGTCCCGTATGTCGTACCCTAACGTAATGTTTGGAAGCAGGTATGGATCATTGTTTATTTTGTGAATGGCAAATATCATTGCCTCTACATGTCCGAGTCCTATTGGGAAGAATTCGCCACACTGACCGTCTTCAGTTGTGTAATGCAGCAGAAAGAGACCACCAAGTGTGACATCACCAGGCTGATGATAACGATCATTTCCTGTTACTTCTGGAATTGCCAGGACACGGAGGGAAATAATGGTAACGAAGAAGAGCAAGCAAGCATTCATTTCAAACAATCACTGATTGAGTTCCAGGCTTTTCCTGACAGATATAGTTTAAAAATATATATCAATTGCTATACTGGCTGAAAGACAATAATAGTAAAATTAAGCCGGCAAAGATATCATAACAGTCCTCCTATAAAATGCTGCCTGATATCATCTGTTATCCCGCGTAGGTCAAATTCATAAGGCGAGCATCGGGTCAATTAACAATCTAGAAAAAAGATCCTAACTGGTACTGATTTTCAAGTCCACGGGGATAGAGCAAGAAATTTAACCTACGTAACCAAGGAACATACGTTATATTTAACCTTATCAGTTCTTACTGTTTGTTGCGGTTTACGACGTTCTGTTGGACTTGTATGTAATATACTATATACTAAAACGTTAAATGAGGAGCGGTTCTGAAACAGGTCACTCTTGACTAGCTAATTTTTAATCAATTTTTCACTTTCAGGCTTGCATGTCGCGCTTCTCTTGCCATCGACTGTTCGTTTCTCAAATCTAACCGATGTACCAAAGGCCCGAGAAGTTAATTTTCCTGGTGTTTTTGCAGCTTTAAGATGGCTTGACCTAACTATGGTAACGGTAACCGTGACTTTGGATTAGTGTAGAACTAACACATATAGCATAATTTGACGGATTTTTCAGATCCATTTTAGTCGTAAGGACTTTCCAGCTCGTATTTTGTCTATCATTTAATCCACAAATTGAAATGAGATCGCAACATTTGCAAGGAGGTTTAAAACTGTTTGCAGGTGATTACAAGCTTAAATTATTTTGAGATGCTAATGTAGCTTTTTAACAACCGGTCTTCGTAGTGTATCCTAGCGAATTTGAGCTAGAGAGTATGCAAATACATGTTTTTCGTTTGACATTACACGTTATTTTCAGTTCAGAATTTTTCATATCAGAACTAAGACATCTCGTAAAAAAGTTATGGTCAAGTTGTCACCTCTTCCCTCCGCTACTCGATCCTTTAAGTCGATGTAGCTTAGCTACCTGTCAGCGGTTGGTTGAAAGTCTTTGAGTTAAGCTATCATGTTTTCCATCTTCAGCTTGATCTCTGTTTGTTTGTCTACTAAATGTTTCAGCTGGTTTCAGCTCATCGTATCTACTATTTGTCTTTTAATAAAATGAAAAACCTTACTCTGAATGGAAAATAAAACAAAGCGAAAATAACTCACTAATATTCACTAACACTCGTGAATAATTCACTAGGAATTAGTTTCCTAGAGTTAACGCAACTTCTTTAATTTTTTTTCGGTGTGCTAAACTGTTGAAAGTTAAAAGGAACATTAAAATTTTCTCTTCTAGGTTCAGATCACTTCTCTTTTTCATAGCAGTTAAAAGCATTGGCAAATTTCTGCCTAAATATCGACGTCCAAATTTGATTTTTCTGAAAAGGATTTATTTTCCGGGCTGTTTAGCTGAGGCTGCTTGAGGATCATTATAGAGTGACGACGGACAGTGTTAAATTTTCCTCTCAAAGGAAAAATCGAAGTATTTGTCCGTTCTACCTCGGCACCAGACTATTAGGTCAAACCGAGTTAGTTAAAAATTAAGGATAAAGTACACGTGGCATTAGCCACGTTTAACTTCAGCTACAATTTTTTCACGCTGTTTTTTCTCGAGGCATTGTACGATTTTTTGGTGGTTAATACAATATTTGAAACTAAAGGAAAAAATTAGGGTAGTTCGCACTTACTGTACAAGATGCTCTGCAAATTCACTGAGGATTTTCTGTTCTTGCTGCGAATTTTTTTCGTCGATGCTTAAAAAAGTCTTGCTGAAGTTTTGCTGAAATTATGATTTTGTAGTGAATCGATGCAAGTCTGGCACAAGTCTGTAACAATATGCAATTTCTGTGAAGGCTCCTTGCCTCTCAATTTCACGCTTCAACTTCGACAATCGTTTTATTGTGAAAAACCAATTTTTCAGTTATATGTAACTATTGTTTTCTTAGCAAATGAGATTTTGACAGAAGGTTCGCAGAGTGAATCTTCAGACGTTGTCAAACTCGCCGGTAAGTAAATAAGTGATAAGGATAATAACTTTTTTAATTAATTTACTTGCAAAGAAAAGTTTACTTTAGAAAAGAATGGATCTCATCGCTGTAAAAAGCCTCCATTTCGATCGTCTGCCAACTGAAGATACTGTGTTTTTTACTTAATTATCTAGAAAGCAAAGAGTTTGGTAATCGAACGTTTATTTTAATTTTTTTTTTAACCTCACTTTTAAAAAACAGATGACATAGTTGTTTTTTTCTTTTCCTGGAGCTGTATATTTGTTTTGAAGGAAAATGCTATATTGTTTTTATCTCCAGCACACGAATATTGGCAATGTGGAACTGTATATCACGTTTCAAATACGATCATATAACCGCATTGTGGGGCTTTTGAAAATGATTTGTTTACTCGAACGACTTTCAATTTTTTTTATGCATTTAATTACTGATCATGTTAAAAGAATTTATGCGTGACAAAAACTGTGTTGCTACATCATTGGGGGATAACACGATTAATTTTATTTTTATCAACTGAGTTGATAACGGAAATTTACACTCTATAGATTTCCGCAGCTGTCGTTTTAATAGAGCGTTAGCCCCTCATTAGAGCGTAAAAAAAAAAAGAAAAAAAGAGTTTGGGCCCTGCTAAACATGCGTACTGGCCAAAGCCCTAATGATCGGAAGTGAGACAAACGCGAGGTGAAGCCCTATGAAACCTCGCCTACCTCAAAGATGAAAGGGATCCTTTGTGTCGAGTGGGAGTGGTAACGAAAAGTATTACTGAATCGCCGTTCATTTTGACCAGCGTTCGTCAGTCGTATCCAAGATGGCGAAGCTTGTTACAAAGGAAGCGTTCGAGTGCGATCCAGATTTTTGTCCTCGCTGTGGTTCCATCCTTCCTCTTCCTGGTGTATCGGATGTTGTTTCCTGTATTCTGTGCGACTTCAAAAAAGACGCATCTGGTAATACTTCACAGAGAAGTTTTGGTTTTTAAAATTCGATGAGAAGCTGAGGAACTCGATTTCCACAAGTTTCTACTTACAGGAAAATAACTCTTGGTAGATGATCACATTCTTTCGAAAGAAATATTTTGAAGATTGACAGTTTAGACCGTCACGACGAAAGTTTATGGTAGCAGTTTTTTCTTTTTTTTTTTCTTTTTCATAGATCAGCCAGATTTTTTTATTTTTTGGTTGTTGTTGTTGTTGTTTTTTTAATCGTTTAGCTGTTGTTAAGGAACTATTAAATGGGGTTCTATCAAATAATGGAATACCTATGTAGGTTGCAGTACTCATAAGGTCTCAACCTCTTTATAATTTAATCTTTTCCTGGTGGAGCCTCAGCACTCTGTCAGAAACTGTCTTTATGTGTGCTATAACATAACTAGTAAATTGGAAAATTAAATATCATTGTATAAGTATGCCTCACATTGCCATTGTGCACACAGAAGCACAATCTCAGGTTTTCAATCCATTTTGCACAGCACTTCCCATTTCCAACACTAGACTAATCATAACAGACACAAAGAGACAAGCAAAGTTATCATAACCATTATACTTTTCACTTTATTTTTTATGTTTTACAGAATTTGAGGATATAGAAGTTCACTCACGAAAGGTGTTCAACATTCCAAAAGAGAAAGCAACCGCTTTGAAAGATTCAGAGGAACCAATAGGGCCTATGGTAAGATAGTGGTTTCTTGTCTAGTTAGTAGCTATCATTTTAGCAGTCCTTAATATTTTGATATACTTCTGAAGTTATGTAAAACTTTGTATTAACTTGCTATATACATAATTACAGTAACCATGAAGTTTACTTAAGGCTTGAAAGCTAATAAGAATCAACTGGCCAATGTTTCTAGTGTTTCATGAGTTAGATTTCCAAGGTACCCAAGAATATTCAAGTAAAGCAATGATCTTTGCAGATGACCTGCACCTAACCTTTTAACTCCTAGAAGTGATCAATATGGAACTTCTCCTGATAATGTCCTTACATTATCCAGCAAACAGCTAATGAGAATGTGTAAACTTATGAGTTAGAAACTGTTGTCTTGATCTAACACCAAGTTCTCATAACTAAGTCACAAGGAAATGTGTAACAACTAGAGGGGAGAATTACCAATCAGTTCTTGGGAGTTAAAGGGTTAAGCAATTGCAGAGAAGGAACCTGAATAAAAAAAAAATTCAGGCTTTGACAGGATTAGAATCCATGCCTACTAGATACTAGCTGGATGCTATTACTAACTGAGCTATGAGGACTTTTAAGTTTTCAAATTTTCTCCTTAACCCTTTACACCCTAACATCAGTATTCATATTCTCCATACTGTTCTCTGTACATTTACTAAGGTACTGACAAGGAGAATTTGTCTAACAATCAAGAGTTTCCTTAGTTGTTGATCATTTCCTTTATTCTCATGACATTAATGTGTGATTCAGTGGTGATATTGCAAAGAGAAATTAGATGCCAGTCACTCTTAGGGGTTAAAGGGTTCATTTTGATAAATTCTTTTCAGGCTGACAGAAAATGTTCAAACTGTGGACACGAAGGCATGACATACACCACAAGGCAAACTAGATCTGCTGATGAAGGCCAAACAGTGTTCTTTAGCTGTCCACATTGCAAGTAAGAAACTGATGATGTAATGTTGCATTAACAGCCAATACAAAGTAGACATTGGAGTTTTGTTTATTTGCCAGGTTGTCTCTAAGATGCTGTTTGTGTTACTTTTTGTTAGTCTGTTTTCTTCAGTCTGTTTTTGGACAGGCCAATTTTTCAGGCTTTAAATGTAGTCAATGTGATTAGCTCCTAGCACATCATGTTGGTGCATAGCCGAACATTGTGAAATTTTTAATTATGTTTTTTGTTTCAGTCTCGTTTTCCCCTTGGTTTTATTTTAAACTTTATGATCAAGTGGGGTGTATTCCTCAAAGTGATGAAATTAAAAGATGAATCATGTAGTACACATAGCTAGAAATTGTGACTGTAATCCATCACAGTTGCACTGTCTAATGAACTATATCAATTTACATATTTTTATGTTTGGTATTCACTAATAAAGTTTTCTATTCTTTTCTTTCTTCAGGATTCAGGAAACAGAGTATTCTTAAGGATTTCTGTGGTTTAAATCATTCATGCATTTGCAAACATCTTTGCATGTTAATGCCAGTAGCACAGAAACAACAATCCCTGCTTTGTTGTGCGGGCTTCTTTTTGGAGTTTCTGTCTGCATTTTGTAAGATACAACCAGCATTCATGCATTTACATGTAATATAGTAAAAAGTGCCTTGAGTAGTAAAACTGTATGTCTTATTTAAGACTTGAAGATTCCCCCCAAAAAAATAAAATTATACCCTACTTGGCAGAATACACCACTCATGGTAAAATATAGAAATGCCTTAAGAAAAAAGCTTTCGCATTAAAAATATTACAGCAAAATGGAGAGTACTTTTAATTTTCTTAAAATATCAATTAATGGATTCTCTTGGTATGAGCATATAGCTAACCAAGAAGACCAAACAACTGCTGATAAAAAAAAGGAAACAACAACAAAAGTTACCATCAACTCTCAACAAATGGACTTATTATTGATGGACACTCTCGTAACCGGACACTTCCACTTACAGACACTTTCTTCAATTCCTGTTTGTGTTCATATATGACGGAGTTGACTGTATAAACCCAGAGTTTATTTTTTAAATGCACATATATGCACCTGACACTTGATTCCTATCCTACTTTTGGCAGAATACGGGACTTGAGAACGAAAAATTGAAAAAACAAAATAAACAACTAAGAGGAGGGAAAATTTAAAAAGTGATCGAGGAATCAAGCTGCTAACTGACGCAAGAAATCCGAGAAGTCCACTCCACTGGTATAATTTTCTAAAGCTTGGTTACCCTCACAAGCGCGGCTACCAAGTTTGATGTTGAAGTTTATGATGAGTTCTGATCGTTCGATCGTTCGCAGAAACAAAAGATTATCGTCTGGTCAAGGATTTACATTAGTTGAGACCTAGCTTGTCGTGGTGGTGGAAAGGTATAGGCTTACTTTGGAATAAATTAAGCATAATGTTTGTTTTCTAGGGGACAAAACCGTGTTGATCCTGTGTCACGTCGGCGTCCCTTTTGTAGGACTGCATGCGTTTGCAATTTTTGGAAGGCTGATAAGTCGCGATTTATTTCACCTCCTGTAACAGTGAGATAGTGGACCGTTGTCGTCTCAGAACACACAAAAGGAGAAAAGAAACGAACACTGACAATGTTGAATTTAATCAGTGTTGATTTCAACCTAAGCTTGGTCATATACTCCAACTCCTCTCACTTCCCGCCTTCGATGCTGAATGATCAATTTTATGCACTAGGAGAGGTTGCTTTCTAGTAACCAACATTGCAAGGGAAAGTAAAGTGAAGGATTGCGAAAGCTTTTACAGGGATTGGTCAAAATTTGATGTTTTCATGAACTTCCCAGTTACCTACATGTAATCATGTTGAAGTTTGTTTATCAGAACACTATCGTTTTATCAATCCACTCTTAATTGCAGATCCCATGAACCTGTCATTTGCAGGCTGTGGTTTTCTTGGGGTTTACCACCTTGGAGTTGCAACTTGCCTAACATCGCATGCTCCACAGTTTTTAAAGAATGTAACAGCCTTTGCAGGTGCTTCAGCAGGGTCACTTGTTGCTGCAGTGCTAGCAACATCAGCTCCACTGGACAAATGTTCAGATTATGTCATAGAACTTACTCATGAAGCTCGTAGACACCCTCTGGGGCCTTTTAACCCCCAGTTTGACTTGGTTGGGAGTTTAAGAAAAGGACTTGAACTTTATCTTCCTTCAAATTCCCACCGAATTGCTTCAGGAAGGCTTTTTATTTCTGTGACCAGTCTAAAGGACAGAAAGAATGCAATTCTGTCTGAGTTTGATTCCAAAGAAGACTTAATTCAGGTAATACATAATTGATAAAAATGGCTAAGGTCTGGTATGAGTTAATGTAAAGGAGCATTATTGGTGAGGAAGCAGTGAGAAATTCAGAAACTGCCCTATAGGCATAGCAAAGTGAAGTAGAGTACAAAGAATTTGAAATGCATTCTAAAGCTGGTGAGTTTAGTTGCTGTTAACCCTTTAACCCCTAATGCACTAGTCAATGTAAACTCCCACACCCCCCAGCCGGGACATAGCAGGGCATTTGACAAGCACTCACTTCTAAAGTTGCAAAATGCCCCAGACCCCAAGGTCAGGTTTTTCCTTTAATTGAAGCTAATGACCCTGCTCATATCCCCCGCTCTTGTTGAGTGGAAGACACAGGCTAATGTAAATGTAACACAGGCTAATATAAATTATTTGTCAAGTAACGCATGTCGCTGCATACAATGCTTTTCAAATGGTATAAAATGTTTGTGGTGCCATCTTGCCAGACTAGCGATTCTTGACCCAGTCCACCTTGGTGGAAAATACCCTGGTCCACTCCCCTGCTGTTCATGGATGACATGTAAAAGAGGTCAACGTCCCCGATACCTGCAGCCCTTTCACTCATCAAATAACAGAAAATTCCCCACAAATACCCCGCTATGTCCCGACTGGGAGAGTGCAGGGGTGTACATTGACTGGTGCATAAGAGTTCCTAGCACCTAATTTCTCCTTCGAATATCACCCTTGAATCAAACAGTAAGGTCACAAGAATTATGGAAATGACCAACTAACAAAGCTCTTGATTGTTTAACATATTCTCCTTGTTAGCACCATTAGAAATTTTTAGAGAACATTGTGGAGAATATGGATACTGATATTAGGGTGGGAAGGATTATTAGTCAGCTCTCTAACCCATTTAAACCTCAGATCTCTGCATATGAAAGGAAACTGGTGGCAGTGAAAGCAAAAAGTTTAAAGATTTTGTTTTGTCCAAAACACATTGTAAATGTGATTGATTCAATATTAGCTTTGATAGGATCTAAGGTAGAAATATTTGCAACATTACATTTAGCTGCTGAAGGAGGGAAACCTTAAACCAGTTTAAAGGCCTCCTGGTATATTTTTATGAAGTCCTTGTCAGTTTAAAGTAAAGACTGCTAATTTTTTGATGAATGGTGTTAAGTTATGCTATTTGGTGGTACATTTTTCCTAATGTTCATACAGAAAAGCAGCACCCCTGATTTGTTTTGAAAATTTTATGAAGAGAGGTTTATCTTATAGGCCTGTTATGGTAGTTTAATAACCTGTGTATGAGTTACTTAAACTAGCACCTGTTTCTCACATAGTACTAGGTTTAGGTTTTAGACAGCCATGACCCTATTATGGAAATGTTATTCAACTGTACTCTCTTTAGAGAACCAGACTTTTGTATTCTATTATTTGATCTCTTGCCTTCTTAGGAAATGAGACTCCTTGCCTTGTATTCATGCTCTGTTACAGTACATTTGCACATCATGCTCTATTACAGTACATTTGCACATAGTGTACTTGCTAGTAAAGAAACTTCTATAACAGGCCACATTGAATTAAAGATTGAAGTAATGATTTTCCTTCTCTTTCTGCTTCTTTTAAGGTTTTGCTGGCAAGTTGTTATATTCCTTTCTATGCTGGACTGAGCTTTCCCAGATTTAGAGGTCAGGTAGGGTATTTTGGTTTGTCTATTTCTTTGCATTGTTATTTTAACCCTTTAACTCCCAAGATCTGATTGTCAATTCTCCTCACTAGCTGCTACACATTTCCTTGTAAATTTGTTATGAGAATTTAGTGTTAAATCAAGATGACAACTTCAACCTGATAATTCTGAGTATTCTCATTACCTTTTTGCTAGATAATGTATAGATATGATAAGGAGAAGTTACGTGTTAATCACTTGTAGGAGTTAAAGGGTTAATTTGCAGTTTTCTTACATACACTGTTATTAAACAAAATTAACCAGTCCCTTTATTAGAAACAAGAGCAGATTCCAGTTAACTTAAATTTACATACCAATCAATTTAACCCTTTCCACCCTAACATCAGTAGGCATATTCTCCATACTTTTTTTCTATCAATATCTAGTATTGACAAGGAGAATTTGTTGAATAATCAAGAGCTTCTTTAGTTGGTGATCATTTCCTTTATTCTCATGACCTTAATGTGTGATTTAGGGATGATATTGTAATGAGAAATTAAATGCTAGTCACTCTTAGGGGTTAAAGGAATTTCAACAAAATTTAGATGTCCTGATTGCTTGTTTCCTGTATTGGAAGGGAACCAATTGTGTACAGGTGACCCCTGGTAACAGTTAATACACTACAAAAGAGAACCAGATTTTTTAAAATGCATATGTAAATAAAAATGTGATAGTATAGAGAAACTGCCTTAAAAACTGAATTTGATAGGAAAGAGGGAATTCTTTTAAAGTGACATGTATGTCCTCTAATGTTGATATTTGAGTATTAAATTATGCCATGCTCATAACAGATAATGATAAAGGAATCAAATGGTGAGTGGTGTAAAAATGCATACAACAACAAAGTAATGGTGTAAGGCCGGGCGTTCATAAAACCTTCTGCTTTTCCTATACATACACTTTTATAAGATAAAGCTTACAAACTTAGAGACTGCAAAATGATTGCAGTCTAGTTTCAATTTCTGTCTGCATAGGCCTCTTTTAATTGCACTAGAACCTTTCATCAATAAAGGCACTCAGGATGCACCAGTTTTTCCAACCTTGCTTTACTTGGAACTGTGACATCACATTGCAGAAAATTTCAAGTAGAAACTGTTGTAACTTTACATACGCCTTGGTTTTGGCTCAAAAGAGGTAATGGTTTGTGCTATTTATCTTGGCAATGATATCGTACTGTGAAATACCAACTCAGAGCACAGAACCCTAACCATTGTTTCTTATCCTCTAACCCTTTAACTCCCAACAGTGATTAAGAAGTAACTTCTCCCTATAATATCCATACATCATCAACAAAACAGGTAATGAGAATACTCAAACTTATCAGGTAGAGGTATCTAACACCAAATTCTTGTAGCTAAGTCAAAAGTAAATGTGTAGCAGCTAGAGGAAAGAATTAGCAATCAGACTTTGGGATTTGAAGGTTTAAGAGCCATTTACACCATTATACCAGCATAAAGATTCTCGTCACTGTTCTCTGTACAAATGCTAATTGGGGCTGACAAGGTTAAATCTATGGAACAATCCAGAGTTCAGATACTAATCATTTCTTTTATTCTCATGACATTAATGTTTGATTTAACAGTGCTACAGTAAAGAGAAATTAGATATTAGTCACTCTCAGGGTTTAAAAGAGTTAATTTAGACTCTACTAATGTACCACGACACCACTTCTCCCGCCGTGTGGCAAAGGGTAAGGTTTTATCCCAAGGTTTATACAGGTAACCTCTGCATGTATCTCGTTTTCTCTGCAGAAATGGGTAGACGGTGGACTTAGTGATAATTTACCAAGGCTTCCGTTCGGCCGAACTATACGTGTATCTCCATTCAGTGGTAATGGTAATGATATATGCCCACAAGACGAGTCTCGTGGTTTTACTGACGTCACTTTCCATAATATGAATGTCTACGTAAATAGAGAGAATCTTCAGAGAGAGTTGCAGATATTTATTCCTCCCAAGAAAGATGGGATTGAGAGTTTAGTGCAGTTAGGTTTTAATGATACTCTGAGATTTCTGCGAAAGGAGAACTTGTGCAATTATTCAGTGAAACCTCTTTCTCCAACTCTTCCCATGAAACATTTTCATGAATAGTGCCGTGTTCTAGTTGAAATAACTGACTGTCACCTTGGTTGTCATTTTATTGTCGTATCCCTCCAAATCGAAATTCAATTGATGTATAGTTTTTACTTAAGACAGTACTTTTCAATTGAGATCAGGTTGGTGGTACTCTGGTCTGAGTTTTGATGACGAAAATCTATTCTTATCTGGGATATTGCCCACATGCCTCAACGAAGATGTTTTGATAATAATTGTCATTATATTACTATCGATAATGATATTGGCTCAATCCTCTTATCATTCCCAAGTCCCTTTTAATTCTTGCCGGATTAGTCGATGCGTGGTTATGGAGATCAGGACAATTGTGTCGCTGTACAGTGTGGGAAGAATGCATACAAAAATTTTATGCTGGTGTTTTTAGCCTGTTCTAGAGGGTTGTTGGTTTGACTTTTTTTATTTACACACACCATATACCACTGGTGTCAGGGAAATTAAGCTTTGATTAGAGTGTTTTATGGTTGGAGTTAGGCGGCCGTGGATGAGCAGTATGTTATGACTCAGACAATAACCCAAGAACAGTGTGTTACACAATGCAGTATATAAATGAAAGGTTATTTATTTTATTACTTGTTTAATATTCTAATCTATTGGTTTACGGTTAGAAGTTTTGATAAGTTTGAAGTGAGAACTAAATCTGTTATTTTAGTGTTCATTCATCTTTTTTATGTCGTGGCAATGGGTTGCCGTTTACTTTATTGTTATGTTATGTTAAACAACACTCTTTGTGTTGTTGATATCTTAAAGTTATACAGCATTATTTTAGTCGTCACTGCAACTTGCGTGTCGCTTCTTGTTCTCGTCTTCCTTGTGAATCTCGTTTGTTAACTCTTTTAGTGCCAAGGTCCGCCATAGTACATGTATAAATGGAATTAACTTGACCAGAAAGATTCTGTATTTACATGAAGAATAAAATGTTATAGGTTTTAGATTTTCACCTCCGGCTGAAGACTAATAGACCCGTTTCAGTCTTGGGGCAGATCGTTAGTTCACCGCTGGATGGAGGTGTTGCCTTAAAAGGCTCCAGATTTCGTAAAACTAAAGCTATAATGTACCTTGATGTCTCGTCATCGTTCATTTCGTATCTCTGTGCAATGACCCACTTTTCTATTCGAAGCCAGGCGGGTTCCTTTCGTTGTGCGCATGTACCCTCACAGTTCTTCTCTCCAACCAGGAGTGTAAATAGCAGCCAGATAGCTGTTGGAAAGACTTGAAGAGATGCAGGGGGTAATCTGTGATGGCGTGGTATTCCATCCTGCAAGAGTTATTAAACTCTCAATCGCTCCTGTAACCCCCAAGAGTGACTAGCATCCAATTTCTCCTCATAATATCACTCCCTAATCACACAGAATAGGTTACAAAAATAACTGAGATGATCGCCAGCTAAATAAGTTCGTGATTGTTAGACAAATTCTCCTTAACAGCTCCTTAGGAAAAGCTTAGAGGTCGGTATGGAGAATATACTTACTGAAGTTAGGGTGTAAATGGTTAATAAAAGAAAGACCAGTAAGCCTTCTGGATAGATGAGCCGCTCGGCTCGTGTTCAGACTCTACCATCTTTTCACGTTACATAGGCTTGGTATGATGGTGGTTTTACTGATAACCAGCCCATTCCTTCGACGGGGTCGACCATCAGAGTATCACCATTTGGTGGGAACAGTGAGATCTGTCCGCGAGATGAATCGTACGTCTTTACTGAACTGAACTGGAGGAAAATGCACGTTTATGTTAACAGAGAAAACATGAACAGGGGAAGACACGTTTTCTACCCACCCAGGAAACGACACTTGTCTGAACTATTTGCAAATGGCTATGGTGATGCCTTACAGTTTGTCAAGGAGAATCGCTTGACTTGATGCAAGCCGATGTGTTATGGTACCAGCTGATTGAAGCAGTTTCCAAATGAATGTCGACAAGCAAAATTAAAGTTATCACAGTGACCAATCAGAACCAAGATTATCATCGTCATCAGCCAATGAGGACTCAAAGAGAAAACAAGCAAACTTCTTGAAGCGCGGGAAAATGCGGTGAATTAAGTTGTGTTTAATGTTGCATCTGATTGATCGAGAGAGAGTGGTGCGAATTTTCTGGACCAATCACCAAGCGAGGTCAAACCAATCTTGATTTACTTTCTTCGCCAACTTGAAAATGGCTCATACGTTAACCTATAAGTTTTTAAAGGTATACCCGACTATGTGGAGTTAGTTTCACGAGTGATCATGGTATCAACGATTAATTTTCCGAATTTCTCGTCCTTGAATGCGCTTATAGGAGAATGCGATAAACAACAACCAGAACAAATAAAACAGTCATTACCCATGAGACCTTTTTGGCGTTTGCATGTTCACCTCTGTTTGACACCTTCTCGAATGAGTGGTTGATCAGGTGTTTTTGGTTATCGTGTCTGTAAATAAGATTGAAAGCTGTGATTACAAGCTGTCTGCATATGTCCAAATTAAACTTGAAATGTAAAGAATAAGCTGTGTTCCGTGTACCATTTAAAAGCACCAGTGGTGGGTGTATGCTTCTTATATTTGATGCATTTGGCTACGAAATAAAAATCGACCATCACTGACATCTGCTTACATCGTCTTTGATGGTAGCGACTGAGCGTGATGAAAATGAAAGTCCTGAATTTCCAAATTGTGAGGTGTGAACATAATCTTTATCGTACAAAGCATTTCCTTTTAATTTTTCTTTTTTTTATCTTCTATAAATTGTATATTTTGTAGTTTCATTCGCTCATGCTACACGCCTTTTCTGATTTTTATGGTTGTATTAATTTGCACCTGATGATATCTCGCATAGATGCAAACAGCCGGTCAATTTATTGGCAATTTGTAATAATACTAATGCAAAAAAGCTTTTTGCATTGGGAGTGATGTATGAATCGATCAAACATGCGTCATTCATTTCTTTTTTCCTTTTTCGTCGACGTTTTTCTTTTCAAATAAACTTACGTCTTTCAACACCCTTTCAAAGCGTCGAAACCAGAGTTCAGAGCATACTTTATATTACTGAGCCAAATTAACAGCTTACAAATTTTCTTTGTTATTAGAAAGGCAGTAAGATTTTTACTAACAAAGCAAAGTTGTTTAATCACGTAAGCCACAGAAAATTAAACCTTACTGTTCTGCCGTAACGCCGCCGCAGGTGATAACTCTAAATTTTCGTGGTTAATTGAGGCCACCAAACATCTCAAGTACTGAAGCCTTTCTCGATGATCTTATTCCTAGATAACTCCCTCTATAGGGAATCAATCTGGTGCATTGACATTATTTGTTATTACTTGAGCATGGTTTGTTGTATAAATTTCGTTTTCCGGTATTTTCACGCACGGTTTACCGATTAAATGAAGTGAACCTACCTAACTTTACAAGCTGAAAACTACTGACATCTTCATTAAACTTTTATTCACGTACTTGTAATTGTTCTACAATTACAGAAAATCTGCAACTAAATTGAAAAGCAAACTCTGAACATTCTGTTTTTCTCTTGTTTGTCCTATATTTTTCCTTTTCAGAGTTATTACATCTGTTCACGGTCCGTGTGTCATTCGTCCATTCAATTTTCGTTTAAAATCAAAAATTGAAATTGATGTCAATTTTTGATTTTCTTTATTTTTATCATAAAAAATACGAAAGTGCCAAATTGACAGCTTTTGACTTTTTTTCCCTCAGCGCCCTCTCCCCATAGCTAGGTCTGTTTCCTTGTTTAAGGGGTGTGGGAAGGAAGTGAGAGTTTCACTGTCCCTTCGCGGTCTTTCACGACGTTTTGGAGCGTCCTCCTCAGTTCTGTCCATTATAGCGAGCAGCCAGACTTTGGACGTTAGCTAAGAAGTTAAAAAGACCTTAGACTTCGTATTGGAGCATATTGGAGCGGGTGATGTAGCCATATCGACTTTTCAGAAACCCTACTGTAAAACATGGTTGGAATGAAGGTGAGGGAGAGGGAGGGGGTAAATTTCTGATACCAACCCCTCCCCCACCCCCTCCCCAATGGCCCGCTTGGAGTCTGCGAAGGAAATGAAAGTTTCGCGCTCTTTTGGACTGTCCGTTCGCCGAGATTATGGCAAGCAATAAAACCTCTGATTTGACGAGAGACGGAAAAGTGTTTAAATTACGAATAGCAGCGGGGGATATAACAGTTTCGAGGCTTTGTCGAGCTTTTCAGGCAATACACATTGTATTTACATTTGGAGTCTTGCAAAATCGCCCGATGACATGACTGCAACAATGGAAGAATAAGTAATCTTAAACAAAATTTAGATCGTGTTTAACTGTGGTTACCCTGTGAGCAGTTGTGTTGGGGGTGAAATCTTCAACACTGAAAACAGCAAACGAGAAAAATTGTATTTCTTAGGTGGAAACGAATTCGTTGTACTTAAGGGAGGAGTTTGGAGACATGACGTACTGAAAAAAAAAAATTCGCATGTGGGGAAGGGGATCTAAGGGGAGGGCGCTTGGGGCGCGAATTACCGTGCGAATGGATCCCTCCCCCACCCTCTTGGGTAGTTCTGTCAACGATTTTGAATGTTTTGGCTGAGAAACAAAAATTGTAAATTGATTGCAATTTTCAATTTTCAATTTTTAGACTTCCGTCGAAAACAGAAAAACTAAGCCATGCCACAGACTGCAACATTGTCGGAAAAGCAAAATTGCCCCTCAGTATCATTTTTCTCTTTATTGTTGACAGGATTAAAGTAAAAATATAAGTTATGTTTCAATATTCTATCAAAAGGAAAAAAGTCCAAAAATTTTGATTCGGCACTTTCGTATTTTTTATGATAAAAAATAACGAAAATCAAAAATTGACATCAATTTTTTCTTTTTGATTTTAAACGAAAATTGAATGGAAGAATGACACACGGACCGTTCACGCATTAATGCAAACATATCTCATCAAAAAAAGCGTCGTAAGCACAGTTATAGTTTACTTTGCACGTATGGTTTTTTCAATGGAAAATTGATCATCCTTTCTCAGTAACCGTTAATTGCATTCGTGTCATTTGGACGAAAATTACTTTTCAGGCGATTGTACGTATCTCCGATAAGCACAGCGCTCTATTTCCTGTCAAAGTAATTCAAACATTTTTTTTTTTGAAACATCAAATGATTCCACTGAGATGTGTTTCAAACAGTAAGGCGTCGTAAATACTTCTGTAAATCAGGTGAATGCTATTAAACAACGGATCACTATGAGTTACTCATACAGAAGAGAAGTAATTTCGTACCTATGTACAAGCTGCCGCCATACTTTGTTAATCTCACTGAGAACCAAATTTTGTTAAGATAAGCTAGTTAAGGGCAACGGGATCTCTCGAAAATGAATCTTAAGTAGGAGAGCAATTATCAACGCTACCTATTTAATCGAGAAAATATACTTTCGCACGCACTTTTCATCGCTGAGAATCACTTTGATAGAACGCTTTGGTAATGTCCAAGTGGTAACTTTACGACCTAAAAAAAAGTTTAAATAACTAAAGACTGTCCATACTACATCGCAAGCAGTATTTAACAATCTTTTCGAACCGCTGAGGGACAACCATAACTTTACCCTTTCTAGAAAGCTTACAAAAAAAAAATTAAGTAGTTATCAGGGAAACGTTGATGGGTACAAGCTGCAAAGCGTCTTTCTTCGTCTTTGTTTTGGCTCAAAGATCGAGAGAGTCTTTTGTTCTTTTAAGCTCGCTCGATCAATTATTGATCGATAGGATGCTCAATTATCGACGTTTTTGCTATGGACTTAATGCTTATTAGAGTCAAAAACCCAATACTGTTTATATTTGTCAATATTTTTATTGAAATCCGACGGAGATAAATAACTTCCACGCCTGCGCAGTAACGGGGAAATCACCAGGAGGTAAGGAGTGGCATATCATCAACAAACTTATTTGAAAGTCCTAAGGCGTTAATTTGTTGTTTATATACAATTCTAGTATGAAAATGCATTTAAAAAAGCGCTGTAAGAGAGGTGTAGTAGCCATTCAGTCACATTTGTAGGAGCTTTCAGACTCCGCGTGGCTCTCTGCCTACAAAATTCATCGAGAAGGAATCGGTTACGCTTTAAAAGAACAGATGATTACACATTCTCACAACAATACTTCCAGTTCGCTAAACGCAACTAATTTGGAGGAACTGAGCATCTGTCAAGTAAACTATGAACTGGCAGAAAAGATTTGTTATGCCTTTCTCTCTCTCGCATGTGGTATTCTTGCAGTTGGAGGGAACTTGGCCTTACTTGTAGCTCTCAACCGCACGTCAATGGTTGGCCCCCGTGTCAATGACTATTTCATTAGTTCACTTGCATTCGCTGACTTCATGATCGGTCTTACCATGACACCGCTGTATGCTTGCTACGTCCTGGTTTCTGTTGATTTGTGGGTTGTAAAGCTCGAATCCTTTCTTTGGATCGTGACAGTTACAGCCACCACGTACAGCTTGATCGCAGTAAGTATCGACAGGCTGATTTCAGTCGTATATCCTCTACGTTATCATCAATTGATGACTGACAAACGTTGCCGTCTCGCCATCGTCTTGATTTGGTTTGGATCCCTTACTTTTGGATTTCCAAGGCTTGTTATTGATGACTATAAAAAGTTAAGAAGGCTCTGGATCTCTTGTTCTGTTATCACAGTAGCCATTCCTTTGATAATATTGTGCTTGTGCTACGGTAAAATCTTTTGTGTTGTACGCAAACAGAATCGAGCTTTAGCCCCCTCCAGGTTGTCGACAGCAGGTGTTAGAAATAAGAAGGCCGTTAAGACAATTGGAATAATTGTCAGTATGTTTATCGTAACATTTACTCCAAGCGCTGTTGTGTATTTTTTGCTTTTATTCGAAAGTGATTTTTGCCAGCAGATGATACTGAATCATGCGTGGATTTGGGTGGCATTTGTATCATTCACCCATTCTGCTTTCAATCCTTGGGTTTATGGACTTCGATATGAAGAAATGCGAAACTCTTTAAGGCACTCTTTCGTGAATAGTCATATTTAGCTAACAATCATGGACTATAGTTCTGTTTGTTTTTTTATGCAAATAGATTATAAAGTAATTATAATGATTGTTGTGTTGCATCGCCAAAGATGTCCATTTGCACTGAGATGTTACTGAAAAATATAAACCCATCTATATCAAATATTATCTTAGCATGAAGACATAACTGTTACCATGATCTGATAAATACTGTTCTATCAAAAAATGGTTTTTTTTCTGGCACAAATTGAAATGAACGAGATCATTACAAGTTTTTCCTTAAGTAAGAATTGCAGAATCTATTTTGTTTCATTTTAATAAACGTTTGGCAGACTTCCAGCAGTGTCCTCGTTAAACAACTGTCACTTTCATTAGAAGAGAATTCGGTTTTATCAACTGAGCTAGTTTTTCATGAACAGAAATAGAAAGTGAACTATTTTAGGTAAAGAAAAGGAAGCCGTGTTTCCCTAATCTCGAACTCGCTGTTACGTAATTTTCACGTTTAAGAGGATTTTCCTTGTCTCAACATAAACCCTAAGATTATCAAGTACGATTACTGTAATAATAATAAGTTTAGTCAATATATAGTTGATCGTTGAATAAAAGACGGAATATAGAAAGCAGTGAAGAGTCAGTATCCACCGACTGAGCCATGACATGAATACACACAATTCTCCTGATCTGGCATGAAAATTTTATCTGGTGGGTGACGGACACTTACGTGCTTTGCAATGCGATAAATGGAATGAAGAAACTTAACTACGATATAATTATGGTGACTTTCCATGTTTTATTTGGAAAATGCCTTGCGGAAGACGTCTTAACACAAACAAGTCTTTTCCTCATTAGACTACACCCTCTTAATATCCGGTATTGAAATAAACTTTTATCCCCAGCAGGAGTTAGTTTAAAGTGAGATAAATCAATAAAGAGTCTTACATCATATCCATTTGTCATTAACAAGCTGGCAGCACCTTAATCAAAATGTTTTCAGTTATGCTCAGGATATTGCTGAACAATGGAAAAAAAAGGTTGAGATCATAATTTTAATGCACTATGAATTTGCAAACAAACTATGGAAATGTGGTTTCAGACTAGTGATATTGAAAACACACAACGAACAACAATTCTGCGAGTATATTTACTCAGTATATTTACTGTCGTCGATCATTACAAATGAAATGAAGTTGTCATCATAAGGTGTTTCTAATATTCGGAATCGCTTGAACCTTTTTGAAGAAATTCGGTGAAAATTTCTGACTACTGGGCATTTCTTTTAGGACCGTGCCTTGCTATGGAACAATTAGTGACAGCTTATTTAATTTCCCTTATGCAGTCATCACCATCTAAACAAATCAAGAGTACGAACATGACAGTCTCTTTCCAAGAGTGTTTTCAAAAACTGTTTCGGTTGAGTAGGTACATAATTGATATAGCCGTAAACCCAGTGGGAGCCGCAAGGAAAAGTGGTGTCAAATTACTTATAGGCAAGATGTGATCATGAAATATTCAAGACTGTAAGACAATCTAAACACATACATCAATTTCTCGTAGGAAAGTAAAGCTTTCTAGCTGAGGGGTACACATTTGTTCCTCAAGAATTTAAGTCAGATTTTGAAAAAAGTATTTTTATTTACAAACCAGTATTGTTCGAAAAGTGGACTTCCCTGTGGCTGACATGTAGACAGTTTGAAAGCCTTGGCGTCAATCTTCGAAAATAACACAAGGTTCAGATGCGGCGGAAACATCGGTTATGAATGACAGGTTTCCCAGGACTCCTCTATTGCTGACCGTACGTAATGATAGAAACTAGCTTATTTTTATTCACCAAAAAGCCTTGCACTTTTTGCCAAACAATTTTTTAAAATCTTTTCGTAACTCTCCATGTCTGAATCCATAAACCCACGGATTGAAAGCAGAGTGGTAGAACGATACCAGCGCGACCCACAGCCATGAGTTGTTGAGTTCGTACTCCGTGCAGACATCATCCTCAAATAGAAGCAAAAAATAAACAACAGCGCTCGGCGTGAAAGTCACAATAAAGAGACAAACTATTATTCCGATGGTTACTGCAGCCTTTTTGTTGACCAAACCTTCCCTTGGGGCATTAGGATTGTTGATGATATCGCCATTTTTTTCTCTAACGATGGTAAAAATTCTCCCGTAGCTATAGCACATGATGAGCAAGGGAACTGCAACAGTTGCAATAGAGCAAGCAATCCATAACTTTTCTAGCTTTCGGAAGTCATTAATGAATAGTCTTGGTGAACCAAATATGACAGATCCCAACCAAATGAGTAAGATGATCACAGTGCAACGTTTCCTAGTTATAATCTGATGATAGCGCAGTGGATAAATAACAGATATCAGCCGGTCAATGCTCACAGCGCTTAAGCTATGCGTCGTGGCCGAAGTTGTCACAATCCAAAGAAAGCCTTCGAGCTTGACGAGCCATCGCGGTTCAAAAGCGACCCCGTAGCATATGTATAACGGTATAATCGTTAATCCTATCATCAGATCAGCCACAGCCAACGAGACAACAAAAGTGTTATTCATTTTTTCCCGGACCGTTCCACAATAACGAAAAATCACCAGAAGTGTCAAATTTCCTCCTATGGCCAGAAGTCCACAGATGGAGCAAAGGAAGACGAAGATGATCGACTGAAGCTTGCCCAAGCCATAGAAACATTTCTTGGACTCGCAGTCTTGACAATGATCATCCAGTCCGTCCATGTCCGTTGACTTGTTTGTGTGAGAGAAAAATTAAGGTTTAGCTATCTCAGACTAAAATTCGCAGTTGCAGCGAACCATTAGTTTAATAAACAAAAAACGCCTACGATTCCAAAAAACTTTCCCAACGATTGTCAATATTCCAACAGCAACACGATCCCAAATGCCACCTATCTGTCTAGTAACATATTAAAGATCAATTATTTCAGCATCCTTAAAAAAAGTTATTAAAAATTGGAAATGAAAAACAATAATTTCGGTTGCAGCTGATAAAACAAAGCTGCACCTCTACAATTTCGTTCAACTTCCCAAGTTCCAAAGGAGCGAGGTAAACATTTTAGATTTATTCACTCCACACCAGTCAATTTATTCGCGTACGAATGCGTGAAACTGGCTGCCTAAATTTAGAGGTAGCCAAGAACTGAAAATTTTGTAATTTAATAGATCTGGACCTTGACGCGAAGTCAAATTGAATGAATCAATGTAAAGTAAATTTCTGTGTCATAAAGAAAACACGATGTATTTGAGTTATGTTCAGTTGTTTACAAAAGACATTTGAAAAAAGAGTGAATCGTCACCATGTTTCATTACGTCCAAATTCTAACGGCGCTAACAAAGTAATATTCCACGCAGCTCTCCCAATTACAAACTAAAAGGGCATCCGATGGCATTTCATGAGCTCTGCTCGAGGTCTGTTTTAAAGGACGCAAAGTGATTGCAGCCAATGTGATCATCATTATTCGCAATTTTTTGTACCGATGACTCCCCCGCGGTTTCTGACTTTGGCCAAGGTTCCGCTGTACATGAAAAGACACGAATTCACTTAAGTTCATCGTTCCTCGAGATTTCCAAGCAGTCGACAAAAACGTTCACGACACGAGCAATTTTATCGAGGTTATTACAGACGTAAATAATGACAAATATTACTGTGTGGGGGAAGTCCCATATTTTGCGCTCAGCATATCTGAGTTTTAGCTTCCTCATACCCAGGTTCCTGAGGGTTATAATCACTGCGGAAGACACAAGTAGGGAGAGAAGAAGAAAACATGGAGGTGAATATAAAAATGCTGATCGGGAACAAAAAATTAAATGTATATCATAAGAGGAAGTGCCACGAGAAACACGGAAACAAAATGAGAGACAAAGGTGACGTTAACCCTTTACACCATAAAATCAGTATGCATTTTCTCCACACTATTTTCTATACATTTTCTAAAGTGCTGACAAGGAGAATTTGTTTAACAATCAAGAGCTTCTTCAGTTGACGATCATTTCTTTAATTCTCATGACCTTGATGTGTGATTCAGTGGGGATACTGTAAGGAGAAATTAGATGCTAATCACTCTTAGGGGTTAAATGGTTAATGGTGAAGCGTCAACGGATGTAAATGATGCAAGATTTCTAAGGAATACACCACAACCAAACGCAAAACGACAGTCCAAATGGAGAGTTGTAATGAGCGCAAAATAAGATATTCTTGACAAATGGCAAATTTACAGTTTATCATTGTAGCCTGCGAAACATTTCCCTGAATGCGCTAAAGATGCTGGCAGCTCCATCAAGAACATGCTACTTCATCATTTACAAATAAAAACTATTTTTTTAATTCTTCATTTTCCTGCTATCTTTCACTTTTTAAGTTACGGCAACTTATTGGCAAAGGAAACACCAGACACGACAACAAAATGTTTCTTCATTCCACCACTGGCTCGATACAATGATGTTGGAAAGCAAATTGTTTCGCTCCTTTTTTTCCTGCTCATGTCCAAAGGAAATGTATAAAAATAGACTCGTGACCTTTCTCTTTTACAAACGTAACTATGCCCATCCTTACATACAAAACTCAGCAAAACATTGGGAAAATGTCTTTTCCCCACCAAAAAGTTCGACAACCCTTAACCTTCAATCCCTTTGGTTATCGGCGAGAACTAAACTGCAAAATTAACGACAACTCTGCTGTTCTACTGGCCGAGAGCTTATTACAACAATTTAAATGTGCTTGCGAACATACTTCCAACGGTAACAGCGATGATTTACGTCCATTTAAAGGGAACATTATTTAAAATCGCATCATCAGATCATTCGCTTCCTCTTCAAGCCGATCGGAGAGGTTTCATATCCGTTTTGTGAACGGCATTTATCTCTAAAGAGCTGAGAGGTGACCCTTAGCGCCCGACTTTGGTTCCGATATGGTGGATGCTTCCTGATTTCAGGTCATGTGAACGGATTCCACTCTAATGTTTAGGAGTCTCCTAAGATTGTAGTTTATAGGAACAAGTTCCGCCATCGCCTCATGGGTGCTGCTATCCGCTGGGGTGTGTTTTGGTACAACACAAAGGGGTCTGTCGGCAATTTCTGCCATAAACTGGGACCAGGGCATTTCTCGTATGTCTAATCTTTTCGCCTTTTTAATCAGAGCCCCTCGGCTTATTCCAAGATGCTCCAAGACATCGGATAGGAGGAAGTAATTTCTTCGCCTAGCAGGAACAGAACAGATGGACGAAACGAATCAGAGATACACGTAAATCACGTGTTTAAGTGTATGACGACATGAATTACCCCGGAGTCTCCCAGTATATACATGAAGTAAGGTTATGGAGGGTAAGTGCTAACCACTACACTAATTCTCTGTGAATTCACCCAGAGTTCGGGGTATTTCATATCGAGAAAATCTCTTTGCTCATTGGTTTGTTGCCGTTGTTTTAGACTTCTCTTTCATTTGGCAAATTATCCAGGGCCATCCTTTTCTGGTCTATTCAATGGGCCAAACATTTGTGCAACAAACTGCATCGTAATCATTCATGCACTGATAGCCCTGGATAAATGCAATAATGTCCTTGACAAAGTTCAAGCAATTGTCGTATAAAAACAACTATTTCATAAGTTCTAAATTCTAAAAAAAGAGGAAGAAAAAGTGAAAAAAAAAGACCAGAGTTTCTCAAAAACAAGTGCCTCCTTACCCAGATGTTAATTCATCATTCACCATAACTGGCAGATTGTAGGTTGGAAGGTGAGGTCTGTCACTTAATTCAAACTCTCCATCCGGGACAGTTTCAATCTTAGGAACTCCCTCAAATATTCCAGACATGTGATCCAGTGACTCATCTAATATTAGTAAAAATAACAATAATAAACACAAGCTTTAATCATTTGTGCAAAATTTAAATCAAGGACATCATAACCATTATTAAATGTAAGCACGTACTTTACGTAACAATATACATGAAAAATTTACGGGCTTCTGGTTGGCTGAAAACGAGTGCATTTTCATGTAATACGATTGCAAAGTTGTAACACGAGTGAAAATTACAATTAGCGAGCGCTGTCAAAATTTAATTATTGATAAGTAACAAAATGATTTCTCGTGAAATTTGGTGTAAATAAGCACTTGTAAATTTTTCAAAGACTAAAAATTTGCACTCGCCTTACGGGCGAGTGCAATTTGTAACCACGAGAGTTTACATGAGAGTTAACCCTTTAACTCTCATGTGTGACCAGGACAGCCGGAATTTCTCCTTACAACATCAATACAAAATCAAGGAGACAAGAGATGGGAATAAAGAAAATATCCATCAAGGGATTATTAATTGATCTTATACCAAATTCTCCAAACCCACATCATAAGAATCGTATGGCAGAAAGTAAAGAGAATTACTCGAGAATTCTTGACCACACCAAAAACAAAATCTATGTCCATTTCAGAAATAAGCACACAATTCTGTGACATATTGACCCGTTTAAAGCGATGCCAAACAAGCCAAGAACGATTAAGCCACATTCAGGCTCGACCACGACTATTGGTTAACCCCTGGATGGCCATCAAGTTTGGTGAGGAATTCACTTCTAAGCCAATTACTATACAATGCAGTTCAGTTAAAAAGTTAGTTCCATGACTTCAACCCTCACTTACCCATGACAGCACATGATCCATCAAATTCCCAGCATCCCTACACGAGCCAAAAAAAAAACCAAAAAAACAGGAAAAAAAACATGTCAAGCAAGCACCATCAAAGCAAAGAACTCAACTTCAATCGATACATAGTTGGAAGAAAAACTCAGTTGTAGTCTCTTTTAGTCACCTCAGTTTCTGTTGCAGTCATCGGAGGGTTCTTCAAATCAACATCCTCGAGAAAACCTGACGAAGAAAATAAAACACGATGAGTTAGGCGTAAAGTTATTGATCATCAAGTCAATTCAGCAATGAAACTAAAAGGTGTAAACCGTGATCATAACTCACTACAAAAGAAAATGTCAGACGATGTACATTTTGAAAAAAGGAAGAAACTCTCTACCTGTAGTCTAGTCTGTTTTGTTACCAAATTTTATTCAAGCACCCGTAAATCACGTGTTTCCCTAACATCCAAGGTTCACCTCGACCAATGAGCACAAAAGAATTGCAACGCATTTTCAGAAACAATCACTCAATCAATGGGTCGTTCAGTCAGTCAAGGTGTCTATAAGCCGGTCAATCGATCAGACGAAGTTGATAAATCGAAAAAGATATTTGGGTCACGTGCCCCCTCACCTTCTAGGAAAGCCCTGGTGTTGGAGTCTTTAGTGCAAGTAAGGGCGCTGTTCCCGGAGTACGTTGCAAGCTTTGGGTCTGCACCGTACGATAACAAAACCCTAAGCACATCCACGTAACCTCCTTCTGCCGCGTCATGAATGGGTCTAACGACCAGGTGTAAACATACGAATAAAAAAGTAAATAAAAGAGAAAGCGAACGAGTAAGCACGCGTGAGTGAGTGAAGGACCGCTAGATTATGTGACTAAGAGTGAGTTAGGGTATGCGTGCGTGCGTGCGTGCGTGAATGACTGACTGAAAATTGAGTGCGTGGACGCATGAACGAGTAAGAGCAAGCGTGCATGAGCGAGCAGATGAGCGATAATTGTTCAATAAAAAGAGGAAACGTTAAACTCACCGAATGCCATCATTAGAGCAGGCGTTTACGTCAGCACCGTACTTGGCAAGCACCTTGACGACATCAACTTTGCCTCTAGAGCAAGCCTCGTGTAACGGCGTCCAGCCAGCGTTGTCTTTGGCGTTCGGGTCGACACCTTGATGGATATGGTGATGAACCGTTTCCTGGTAAATATTAAAAGCACGATGCATTCATTGTGTCGCTCTGTATTAGTCGTGATATTTCACAGATGTCTTTGGCTGTTTCCATTTCCACACCTTAAGAAGTACAGTAGTCAAAGGCATTCTCGGTACTCACGTGGTATCCTAATCGAGCTGCTTTGTGCAATATGGTTTCCCCTGTGTTGCGATTCACATTCAACTTCTTGGCCTCTACAAGAAACATCCAGAAGTGGTCACCACAAGAGATACGCACGTAATCTCTGATTATCGTTCCCGCTTTGAATGGGGCTGAGAAATGGGAGGCCATTACAGAGATAGTTTGAATAAATGTGGAAAAGGAAAGGAGGGATAAAACGAAAACTTATTCACAGTTTCCGTCCTGCAGAACTGAAAAGCTAGTCGAGGCGGAGGGTGTTCATGATGCTTTAGTTCTAACAAAAACAACAAACTACTCAAACTCCTTGTAAACTGCGGAAAGCACATACCTCTCAAGGTATCATCATCACTGGTTTTCTACGAAAGGGGACAGAAGAAAGCTGGTTAAAGACCTGCTGGTGATTTCTACATCGGTCATATATGATACAGGAACACATAATAGAGAAATAATAGATATACTCTCTAAAATCTTAGCAAAAGATGAAACTATCTACGAAGTTCTTTCAAGGATAAATCGAACTTTCATTTATAGAGAACGGCAGGCAAAACTGCACACGGAACAAGACCCAGACCAAAACAAATTTCAACTCCAAGCGTATCAACAAACGATTACTAACTGGGGCTATTTTAAGTGATCATCTCTGAACTTATCAACATATCGACAACTGCATTATATCCGATTTCCTAAAACAGAATTACCTCTTCGACAGAGTCATCCAACTCCCATTTTCCGCGTGCTTTTAGAGAATTCTCTACAAGTTGTTGGACCTCCTCATTCTCAGCGATGATACTTTTTCTGATGGGTTTCGAGTTAACACTTTCAACTACCAGCAAAGGGAACTCAGACGTCTTTGTGGTACTCTTATCATTGTCTGGTTGGCTTTCTAAAAAAGCGGTATTTAAGAAACTGAGTGAATTTTCATCTACTGAAAAATAATTTATTAGCATCACAATTCACTACGAATATTTACAGTTATTGGCAGGTAAGCAGAAAGTACCTTTGTTAAATATCATAAGAATTTCATAGTTTTTGGCTGGACTGTGTGAAAGTAATTGTTTAACCCGAATATAAATAGGAAATTGCAGCAAATTTCGTGCAACTTTGACGCAATTTTGATCTGCTTTGTGTTTAGTTTAGTTTTTTTCCTTTTTGTTAAACATCCTGTGGTAAACGCCAAAAAAGAATGGGTAAAAACGTATGGCACTCTCAGTAACTTTAATGTAAGGACCACAAAAATTAAGCTTTTTCTCAGTTAACCCTTTAGCCCCTCAGAGGGACTAGCATCTAATTTCTCCTTACTAGATCACCCCTGAATCAAACATGAAAGTTATGAGAACAGAGGAGATGATCACCAACTAAAGCAACTCTTAAACAAATTCTCCTTGTCAGCCTCTTTGGAAATGTATGGAGAACAGTATGGAGAAGATGCTTATTGATGTTCGGGGGTAAAGGGTTAAACACTCTTTGATAATTCTTATTCATTCCAAACGATCCTCGCTCACTTTTTTTTTTTTATTTCTCCCTCTTTGGAGTTTGTCTTCCTTGGTGAACTATTTACTCTTTCGAGGTTTCTTTTTGATAAACAAACTTTGGATTAATATCAGTATCTGGGCAACTGCCCACCTACCCCTCCCCTAACTCAACAACAGTCAATTGATAACAAGTTAGGGTAAATGTTGGATTAGGGGAGGGGTAGGTGGGCAGTTGCCCAGGACTGATATTGGTCCCAAACTTTTTCCACAACCCCCTTCCCTTTTTTCTCACCTAAGAAGAAATGAGTAACACCTTTCGGATTTGCCTTAACATAACTTTGACCCTTATCAATGCCTTGCCTCGTCACTTACCACCATCCGTCTGCTTGGACTTTCCACGCGTCCGAGATTCGAGAACCACTGGCTTGAAATCCTGTTCAAGACAAGAATTATTAGGCAGCATGCACTATGCCTCACACATGTCTCTCACACATTACAGCGCACGAGGATACATTTCTACCCGTGCCAACAGTACATGAAGGAATTGGCTGACGTTACGGAACAAATGACAGTTTTAAGAGAAAAATTGTTCCTTGTGAATGTAAAGTAAAGAAGTGAAAGATGTTTTGGATGAGTTAACAAAAAACTTAGGGTTGATCCTTGACGTTTTGAACAATGTCGCCCTTTTGATTTCCACGGATCGTGTGCGCACAAATTTGAGTTACTAAGAAAACAGCGTTTTTTAGAGCAAAATAGAATGTTGAAAAGCAGAGGTTAACGTACCCTAAAACCTTGATACGCCGTGACCAACATGTACGTCTTGGTAACACGATGAGTTCGGTCAGTTTTAGCTAAGAATAGCAATAAAAAGAAATCATTATTTTGTCACAAGCAAATGGGTTTTACGCTCATAGATGAAATATATGACTGTCGTTCGTCCGTCCTTGAAATAAAAAACGATAAATTCAACAGAAGAGTGCTATATGCTATGATAAATCTTAAACGTTTCCTTTCCCTACGCAAACAGATGTCAATAATTCCACCATACATATAATCTTTAAGTATCATATGGGGCATAGAGAGATTCTTTGAGTCACAGGAAGCATCCGCCTGTACCGCCTGTACCCTTTCATTGGTAATTCTCCTTACTGTCTGCTATACAATTCTTCTGATGTTACTTCTGAGAATTTGGTATTGGATCATCTAATAATCCCCTTATTGATAATTGTCTTGGTTCTCATTACTTGTCTTCTTGAATTTGTATTGATATTGTAAGGAGAAATTCTGTCTTGGTCACTCATGGGAGTTAGAGGGTTACTACAGCAATCTTTCTTTTCAAGATCTCATCTGACATGAAGCTAAAACTTACCGTTTTTGTCCACAACAACTTCCTGAGAAGGAAAAAAGGAAAGCAAAAAATTATGAGAAAGTGTGAAATTTTACAACAACAAAAAAACTAAAGGAAAACTTCCAGTGGTCCCTGAGGACGACATCAAATCTCTTTCGTGTGAAGTTTTGATTTTCTTTCGTTCAAATACAGTGACAGCGTGAAAAAAGAATGTCATCTTTCAAAAGAGTACAAAAAGATTAAAGAGAAGACCTTAAGCGTTATAAGGAGACTTTCCTTCCTTTCCAAAACACTAAGGATAACCTAAACACGCTAGAAAGATAAAAAGGGGCCAGTGGCACGTGAAAATAAAAGTTTGTTTGATTGGGACTATAATAAAAGAAATAAATCCATCTGCAATTTCATCTATGAACAGAAGAACGGTCACAAGTGTTCTGTTGATCCGAAACTACATCAACTGACCTGCTTGTTCACTCGCAGCGGCTCTATCTCTACCTTCGCACGTTTAACAGCTTTCTTCCCCATTTCAACGGGGGTTGAGGGTCTTTTGCATAAATGTTTTTCTGGAACGTTCTCCTTTTTGGTATCCTTAGGAGCACAGGCTAAATGGAGGAAAAAAGAAACTATGTGAATCTAAACCATGAAACAACTATAGAAACTCAAAATCGGAGCAAGTTATACTCACTTTCGCTCGAGCTTCTTTTCAATTTAACAGGTTTGTTCTAATAAAAGAGGAAAATGGTTTAGTGAAAAGTGGGAAATCATTTCTCAGCGTACATAATTTCACGTGAAAGGAGCAGGGAAATTGTCCAGCAACTTAAGCGACTTTTTTTAATTTGAAATTTTACGACAAACATCAGAGCAAATGAAAAGGTTGCATCCTCTGCAAGAAAATAACGAGTATTGTTCAGCTTTGCAAAACTAGTTCCCAGACCCAGAAGAAGACCTAGCGCCTGTCAAAAAACATATTAACATAACTAAGAAACTTCGATTACATTTCGGTGTTTCGTTGGCTCCTCTGAACAGAACCACACAATATGCAAACAAAGGTGTCCCTTTCTAAAAAAACCGAAACCACAAAAAGAAAAACACATTTCATAAGCATGAGCTATGTTTTAGCATCGTGAAAAGCCAATAAGATAATTTCAATGCAATGATAAAGATATGCATTCTTTTTTGCTTTTTTTGATGTTCTCTTTTCGCTCTCAAATTTCAGTTGACAACAATTTTATCTCCAATTACAGTTATTGCGAATATCATTACATCAAATATTCTGAACGCATGTGTTTTAATTAAGATCACGAAGTTTCTTCGAACGAAACTATCGCAAGTGCCTAGACACATAGTTCTAACGTGCCTAAACGTGTCTTAACAACCAACGTGTTGATTGCTTTTCAACATGATTCGTCCGACATCGAGCGCGACCTGAATGATCAAATGATACCTTCAACTACCGGTGCATTTCGAAACTAATCCAAATATGGGCAAAGTTAGGTATACGAAGCCTTAAACCACAAATAACTCGTCATCTGGTTAGCAAGATGAATTCACAGCATTATCGACTGTCGGTTTGTTTATGTTATGAACTAAACAGAAAACATTTCCGCGAAACCTAAATGTCGAGAAACACAGCAACGCGAAAAATTTGGAAAATGGTCACAACTAGGAAAAAAGATGATTATATTTACCGTGGTTTGTTGCATCGGTAAAACAGCTGCTTCTTGTGGGGCATCCTTTGGTTTGGGAACAAAAGCTCGTTTCTCTGCGACCAAAAAAAGATTATCATAAAATATTAATAACATAAACGGGTAATGACTGGTCTGAGGGATTATTTACTGTCACGAAATAACGTATCACGATAATGTCACGCACAAAAACGCAACAGGATTTGAATAAGGGCCTTACAGCTTTGATAAACATTTCAGAACTTATCGTAAACATGTAGAGCCTAAATATTCGAAACTAGAAGACAAAATCTTTAAAATCAGAGTTAAAATTCTATTTGGAGGGGTTAGAGCGGTTGTTCCTAATAAAAAAAAGTATCAGTCTTGAGAAGCATGTGCTAAATTCTCCGATTTAGACCCTTTTCAGTTTTAACATTCTCGAAAGTTTTCAGTTTTGAAATTCTGGAAATCGTTTTTTTTTTATTTTTTGCCCTTTGGTCATTTAATTTTAGGTTTTTGCGAGTAAAAAGTAAAAAAATTTGGCTTTTGTAATCTAAAGAGTGTCCTTTCTCGACCGCTTTTTTGCACCTCGTTGTTAGTTATTAAATTTAGTTATACAACTTACCTCTTTCCACACGAATTCGTTTCAACTTGGGTTGCTCATCCTAATCAGAAACAAGAAATTACAGGGTTATTGGGGCATAATCACTCCACGTTCCATAATGCCATGGAAGCATCGAACAATTGAATAGAAGCATTCTTACGCCATTCTGCAATAAGCTGGTTCTCCGCTTCTTTGTGACAGTTGCTGTCTGCTTTTCACTGCTAGTCACCGTTGAATTGTCCTCTTGGCCTGAGAGGTAAAAGACAAAGTCAGAAAAACAATGAAAAACGTCTTATAACCCAAGACAAACGAAGAAATCGACCAATACGATACAAAAATTAACAATACCAGTCTGAATCCCAATCTGACCATTAGAAACAACCTATCTGTGACCTTTAAATTAAGGGGGTAAGTTTCTAAAGAAACTGTGGTGCTTCGTCGGTGGGAGAGTACAAAAGTAACTTTGAATTTCCTAACTACGCCATCATGATCAAATCCTGACAAACATTTTACTAATAGTTGACACGACTCGGTATAATTTTTAGTAACATAGCTTTGGCCACCATGAATAATAGAAGAAAATCAAGACTAGACGAACAAAAGAAAGGATGAAATAGAAAAGAAACTAAAATACAAATAAATGAAAACAAGAGTTCAACCCATTCCCTAACTTGGTTTTTTGACTCATCAAATCGAGTCCATTACAACATTTTGAGTCATTCTTCTTCAACGAGAGAAAAAGTAAATTTAACGGTTTAAAGTGATAAAAAAAGAGAAAGATAGGAAGAGAAATAGAGTAGGAGTAAGACTAGGTCCAAATGGACTGCAGATGGCCCAGATGAAAATATGGGCCCATGTTTTAAAAACGCACAAAACAAGAACAAGCTTCTTCAATTCGCACACTTAGCCAAATAAGTTACCTGTAGACTTCACCATTATACTTCTCCTCTGAGAAAACCAAAGCCGCTGCAAAGCAAGTTGGAAATAAATAAGTATATAAAAACACAAATCTGATTCCGAATTTAAGGGGGGGGGTTAAATTGTACCAGGCCAAATACTGCACCTGCCATTAACTTTTGTTCCCCATGATTCCCAGTTAAAATGTCCACTATGACAAAGAGGTTTTTTCTACTTACTCTCCGCTTAAATTTCTTTATCCACACCTTTGTTGCTACAAAATAGAAAGAAAGGAATTAATTATACCTTAAAAACTAGTAAAGCGTACATACAGAGGAACAAGTACACGCAAGACCGAAATTGATTACCACGAAAAAAAATTTACTACAAGAAAAAAATTTACACAAATAAACTTATCCCTACCGTTCACTACAAAGATTCCGTACAACCACAGTACGATGCACTACCCTACATTTCACAAAATTCCAATAATTCATTTTAACTATACCACTTTAGGTTGGCAAATATACAGCGATGTTAAGATAAAAATTTTCCCTAGGTGGGTGGTTTCCTTTGGATAAAAGTGTACTCGACAGATAAAAATAAGAGAAAAAGAATAAGTTGGAGCCTAATGAAAATTCTACCTGTTTGTTTCTTTCCATCATTTGGTAAAGTTGATTTTTCCTAGTATAAACAAAATCAAATCAAACAGAATTAAATACACAAAGAAATTTTTCTGTTCCATTAAACTACAAAAGGAGGAAGGTTTTTCTTCAGAAAGACTTGCTTAAGGTTTGATAACTTGTGTTTATTACACTAAAAGTAAATTAATGTAAACATCAAACACAAATTATTGATGAGCTACAGCTCAGTAGGAAGCATCGAAACCCATCGAGATTCGGGATGGTGGAAAGCAGTGAATTATCACGTCTGGCGAAGGTGGCGAGACTCCAGCTGACTTTATATTAGTCAAATAAGCCTACATGCCACCTTAAATGACGTATCAGCTGGAGAAGCGCTTGGTAGAAAGCTCTAAACTCCAGGGAGGATTTAAGTCGTGAGAAACTACACTATTAACTAAAATATGTCCTTTAGTGACAAAACTTGACTACTACGATCGGAACTAAATGTACAAGTTGTGAACAGCCTAGAAAAGATATTAAAACATTCCAGAAATATTAACCAATGAGCTAAGGAGGTCAAGAAACATCTTGAGAGCCAACTGGAGTAAGCTCCAATGCTTCAGTTCAGTGAGAAACAAAGCCACGGTACACGGAACAAATAAAAAATATCTATCATAAGTAATTAAAGGCTCCACTTTTCTTTTCTTACTATTTGTTAATTTTAATGTCATGATTATTTCTCTCCCACCTTCTGGACATAAATTGATTAAAAACCAACCTGTTTGGATATCTACCTCGAAATGTACCTACCCTTCGTAACCAAAACACGCTAGCAAGATATTATCTGTATTTTACCTAGATTATTAACATCATGATTAATAATGGTAATTGAATTGAGTGGAGTGCAATTAGGGCTGAAATCATACGCGAGGTTCAATTACCACGTTACTACATCCATTTTGAAATCGCCCAAAAACAGAATTTGGTCAGTTCAAATATTTTATTGATGCAGTACTGAGTCGGTTTGAAATTAAATGTATCCCTTTTTTTGGAGGAAAAAAATTACACTTTTGGAAACAAAACTTGCAAAATTTGCCACATGATACTCTGTCCTGCAATTTGATTGGTTACTTTAAACAAGACTTGAAATCTGATTGGTTGTTTTTTTTTTTAGTGTAGCCTCCTCACTGACTGAGAAAAAAATGCGATTTAAAGCAAAAAATGGTGCGATTCGTGAATAAATCGCACCAGTTAGAGCCAATCAGATTAGAGGGACCACCAGTGATTTCAAAATGGGTGTAACAAAAAGGAAAACTGAACTAATTCAAGCGCGGATACAATACCTTGTGTCTTTTCCGTAGCCGCCTTTTGAACGAGTCTTTCTTCCTCATTTCTTTACATTTCTCTTTCATTTCCATTTCACTAAACTGCATCATTGCTCTTTGTAAAGCTCTTTCTTCACGAGTTAATTGGCTTGGGTCTCGGTACAAGTCCCCAACGCTGGTTTCACGGACAGGCGATGGAAGCCTGGGCTCAAGGCGGCGAATCATTGCTTTGTTTTGCTTTTTCTTGGAGTTACCTCCCTTGTCTTCACCAATGTCTTCAAGATTTTCTTCGTCTTCAATATTTTCTACGTCTTCGACGTTTCTTACGTCTTCAACATTTTCTTCTTCTTCAACATTTTCTACATCTTTAACGTTCCTTACGTCTTTGACACTTTCTTCGTGCTCAACATTTTCTTCGTCTTCAATATTTTCTTCGTCTTCAACATTTTCTACGTCTTCGACATATTCTACGTCTTCAACGTTTTCTACATCTGTCTTATCAACGGGAGAACGCTCTTCCAGGCATTCCCCAAGGCAATTTACACTTTCTTCTACATATTCTTCCACGCATTCACTTACATTTTGTTCCAAATTTGAAGGAGGATTGTCAACACCTTCCAAATCCCCATTGCACACCACATGAGGCGAAACAATCGATTCGTCAGTATTGATTTCACAAACGTTTTCAATTTGTTGGCTGTTTGAAGAACTCCGAACCGTAATAGGTGACTCGCAGCTTAAGTACCTTTCTATGTCAGGGCTGTTTGCTGACTCACGCAAGGCACACTCGTAAGATTGATCCGCAAGCTCCTCTTCCACAGAGCCCATTCTGTTAAGACTATTTGTTCTCGGGGAGATTGAATATCCAGTTTGAGGCGGTAAAGAACGAAAAACATTCGGTGGTTGAAGCGAAACTCGCGTATGGCCAGAAATACCGGCATTGATTACACATTTAGCAGGGGAAACTGGTCGAAACGTCCTCTCCGGTATATCGGGTGAAGATGTTAGTCTCTCAGGGCAAATTAAGTCTGGATGCGTTCGAATCGGTAAATTGTTTCTCTCCAAAGCATTCACGGAAACAGGTGGAGGTATCACACCACAAGGTATTCCTGCAGGTGAAAGCAGTGGTAACACCACTACTTGTCCCTTAACTGGAGAAGTAACAGCTTGCAATTGTGGGCACGTTGGGGATTGCAATCCGTTCGCCAATGGTTGTGAATGCACAGGTCTAATAGCTGCAATGTAGGTATTCGGGGGAGGAGTGCCAGTACCGATAAAAGGACCAATTAGATGAGTTGTTGCTATATTGGTCTGAGTTCTGTCAACGTTTACTTTTTCACTAGTAATCCCCGTGGAGTCTAAACTGATCAGGTCAGGTTTATCTACAGTACAAGGTTGAATAGCCACGGGATTCGTATTGCCGTTATATCCAGACGTAGGAACCTGATTGGGATACGTATTTTTAACACTTATCGACCCTGATGCTGGATTGACGTATTTTATCGGAGTCACTGAAGGAAATATTAAATTCGAGTCCACCTTAGTCCGCTCTGTCGGAATTATCACTTGAGTCCCAACAGGGTTAGCCTGCCCGTTTATAACACGCGCTGGGATGGCATTTGATCGCATGTTGGACGCGTTTAGCTGTGGAAATTGTTGTAGGGGCCGACCGGAAGTAACAGCATCATAACCCGTTCTCAAAGGCTGCACCGCAGGAGGCATGCTACTTCCAAGTTCCTTGTTTATAGATGTTAACTGTCTGAGTTTTTCAGAAAAAGGAAACACTCTGTTTCCTTCCATAGAAGTAGTTCTTTGAATTTGCTGTTTAAAGTAGGAGGCAACCCTTACATGTTCACGGACATTACTTTCTTCCGTTGCGGTGTCTGCGAAGTCAAAACAGAGTAAGTGGCGTCAGTTGGAAAAAGACAAAAAAATGAAAATAGAAAAATTTAATATGCATATTCAGATTTGTCCATTAGTGCTCTTTCTGACTTAATTGATGGGCGATTGATTCAGACGTAAACAAGATGAACGAACATTGACGTTACCTCGCTTAAGACATACAAGACAACGCTGATGTTTAGCCATTGACCACCGAAAAAGATACAATTCAAATACAGGATTTAACTCGCAACACTACTATTAACAAAGAGCTTCAACTCTTAGAGGCAAAATAGAGTGATTCCCTTCATATTTGGTTCATGAGTTAAATTAATACATGTAACTTTAGGGGTGACTGAAGTTTGCACAAGGTAACCTCATTTATCTAGGAATTTTCAAACATCAATCATGGTCAGCGAGACACCATGCCGCATTGACAAATTCTAGAGTGTTCTGTTCCCTCAAGCACAACATTCACATGTAAAAAACAAGAAGCCTTGAGAGAAAACCTGTTGTAACGACTGTGCTAGAGAAACACTCGTGAGCACAAAAACGATATATATTACACGGAGCAAACTAAAATTCACATACTCGACGCCTTCTGTTTTTCTTCCACTGCTGTCGAACGAGCGTCCTTCGCCGATCCTTTCCCATTTGGTACAGTCTCGACGATGCGGTTTTGAGCGAAGGTAGCGGCAGATCGAAAGTTGTTGTTGATATGTTCGAATACAGAACGTTCATTTCTCAATTCTGACGCTGGTTCAGAGCTTTCGTTGTTGAGGGTCGTGGCAGCTGTCAGGAGACAAACAGAGTCACACAATTAATAATTGAATATTGATAAGTTACATATGAATACATTAGCGCAACCCTCACCACTCAGTTTTTGAAACGATCCTTGATTTGGTTGGTATTTCCAACCGCGGTACTGAATCCGACACTAATTTCTAAATAATCGTATCACCAATAGGAATGAAAATGATGATGGAGAAGAATTTCCTACCAACGAAACTTTACAATCTATTCAAGTACTGTTCTAATATAGTAACTGTACCAGTAAAAAAATTCGTCGTTGATAAATTTTTCCTTATCGAGGACCTTATTCAAGTACTGTTGTGACATATTTCAGACAAGGTGACGAAATATTGAAGAAAAACTTGTCGTATGTTTTTATTCTATCTACCCTAGAAAGGAAAACATGTCAAGGGTGAACTTGTCCAAGAAAAGCCACTAATGTAAATGCACCTTTAGAGCTAAAGTTGGGTGATTCTGATGACAGTTTCAAGCCCGATTTCTAAGTTTAGATTCGCATTTGACCATAGCATAAGATCAGCTCATCACACAACAACGACAAGCATGTTGGTCTGTAAATCATGCTAGGGATAAAACTCACCGATAGCTTCACACATCAATAAAACTGTCCTTCTATTATCAAACATAATTTAAAATTCTGTATGAATTTTAAAACCTGCATAATGTGCTTGGAACAGGAAACGTTTCTGACGTATACAGGGACTGTGAATAAGAACAAAACTCCGTGTACGTACCCTGTACATCATTTTTATTTGCATGAAAACAAAAATAAAATATTTTACATGTCAAAGGCTTTGTATTTACACCCCAATGTACATGTAAACAGAGGTTTTGAATACCTCGAAAATGGCCGATTGTAATCTCGCTCCTAACCTTTTAAACCCTAGAGTGACCAGCATGCAATTTCTCATAACAGTAATATTGCTGAATCATTCATTACGATCATGAGAATATAAGAAATGATCGCCAACATAAGAAGCTTTGATTGTAAAATGAATTCTCCATGTCAGCATCAAAGGAAATGTATAAAGAATGCAGAATGACACGGAGAATATAGATACTGATGTTGAGGTGAATCGATCTATTTTTTTGACAATTCAGGTTTTTCTTTCCCTATGAATGCAGATCACCTCTCATAAATTCAATAATGCCTCACCTAGAGTCACGTCATGATATTCAACGTTCAGGTTTTTCCTGTCGAGGAATAAATTCAACACCAAAGGTACACAGTTAGCGTAGATAAACATGTATATGTAACCTTAAGAAGAGCGAAAAAAGAATAAAAGAGAAAAAATTGACTTTTCTAGAAAACTTTTGTGCGCAGAAAACACAACCACTCTTACAAAACTCTAATTACATAGAAAAGGAAAGACAGAGAGAGAGAGTTATTGCAAGAATAACCCAAGGAAGAAACAAAATAATTTGCTTTATCAGAGTTCAAGCGTGTAAGTTTAAGTAAAATTTTCCTTCTAAAGAAACATACGAGAAATATCGAATAATCGTATAGATAATCATTTCACGGTAGTTAAAATAGTTCGTTACACTCGTCAAAGAATTAGTGTGACGTGAACAGCTGTGTAACGGTTGATTAAATAGTTGTGTGACAGTCTACATTCCCATCGTACCTTACAACCTGGACAGTTGATTCAGTCACGCCATTGACATCTCCCATCTGCATAAAGAAGAAAAAATATTGTCACTGCCCTTGGCTGCGTATAGCAGAGATACGGTTCGACTTGATATCGACACTGCATTTACTGATACTTGCCGGAATTTCGCGTTGTAACACCACTTGTTCGCCGTTATAGCGTGTTTCAGCTTTTACTGCGGGGGATTGTTTTAAGTTATCCGCTAAAATCTTCACGAACTTATTTCGGTCAGCATATCTAAAAACAATCAGAAAAATAAAAAAATAGACAGTCAGAGACAGTATGGGCGACTGACATGGCACAATTTTTATAGCATTGAAGAGAACAAGAGGTTGTGTAATAACGCTAGAAGGTAGTGTTGCAAAGATACGGTACGACTCAGAAATAAACTTGATATCAACACCTAAAGGAGGGAGTAGCCTCAACAGTCACGAATCATTAGTCACAAGCGTGAGACAAAAGCAAAAATTCAAAGTTTTTCACGGATAATTAACCTCAGCCGTTGTATTATCCACACATCATCAAGCAAACGTATAATGAGAATATTAAAACTTATTGAGTAGAAGTTGTTATCTGGATCTGACACCAAATTCTCCTAACTTATTTACGATGAAATGTCGAGCTGCTATAGGGGAGAATCAATCAGGGTTAACTGAAGTCATATACTATTAAAATCCACATGCGTCTAGTATCCTTCCTTTTGCCTTTGATCGAAGGCGTCTTGTTTGCAAATTAGAAGACAGATGGTAAATTTAAATTTGGCCATCGGAAAAACAAAGCATATCACTCATATTCCGAGAACACGTAATAAAACGAAACTCAGGAATATATCTGCAGAATAAAAATTGAGGCTCCTGTAAAAAATGAGTAGTACATATGTTTAATTTCAGCAGTCTTTTTTTTTTCTTATCTTTGCTACATGAAATACTCATAATTTCTTCCTTCTATGGGCAACCAGGCCTTTCTATTAGTTAACTTTCAACTGTAAATGTTACACGTTTGGCGATAAATGGTGATTCTTCGATTGTAGCATTCAGATAATTATATTCACGTTGTAGCAACGATAGTTATAAACGCTTTGATACAAGCTGCTGAAATCATAAATATGTCATTCGATAATCGACCGTGATCTAACACAGAACACTTTACGTGAGACCGCTTGAGGCAAACTTATAAAAAATAATCGATCACAGAAAAACTGTATCTAATTCAATGACTTATCTTCCATTAGAATCAAAACACTGTCTTTAAATGCTGACTGTTTTAACCATCTGTTGTACTAAAACATGCAAAACACACAACGCCCCAATGGTGGAATAATACACGTCAGAAAAGCATGAGGGTGTTTAATATTAAGCATTAAGTCAACTTTTCCAATTCTTATTGCACCACAGCAATTTTTCTTCTTCGAAACAAAGTCACAGAAAAAAATCAGTTGGTTGGGACAGACTTAATATACTAATGGAGCCATTCGACTAGGTTCGATCCCGACGAAGTGTTTCGGCAATTTAAAATTCGACCGTTTTCGAATTCAAAACCGTATGACGATCTTGTTCGATTGCCCACGCTGGGATTTCTCGATCAATCTTTATTTGTAAACCAAATCTTTTGCCCTGAAACAAAGATTTAAATTAAATGCAAAAATTTCTTGCGGTTTCCATTCCCAGGCAGTAAAGGAATTGACAGGCAAATCTAATTACACGTACCTTTGAATAATCTTCTCGACACTATTGCCACCATTTTGTACAGGATCATCCGGGACATCGTTGGAGCAAGATACGTCCGCGATATCGATCACTCGTGGTGCAGCGGTACCCTAAAACCCGGGGATAATAATAACCTGCTAGGCAAACCGTTCATCCTTTAGTTTCTATCTTGAGAAATAAGGTAGAGCGGCTAAACTTTAAGAATAGAGATGTGATAATCATTAAATGTAACGTCATGATTTGAGGTGTCGCGTGACAGTTCACGCAACGCTTAAAGCGTGTCATGTAAAAGCCTTTAAAATACACTGAAGTCAGAGACCAATTCTTAAATTAATTGAGAGTGTCTCGGGGTTTACCAATCTTTCTACGGAGACTGAATAACTCAAAATGATTATTAAATATTTCAACAGCTCGTATTTCAGTTACATTTGTCGTAAATCGGAATATACCATTGTTACAAGCAGATATTAGAGCTAAAAAATCCTCAAACAAACAATCCCCTCTGATTTTCGCAAAACGCAGAGCAGAGTTCTGTTCCATCCAAAAAAAAAACATCCCACATCTCTGCCTAGTCACAATCAATCAAAATACAACGAGAAATAAGACATTTACGGTAAAATCCAAAGTTTAAAGTTTGTCGCATTCATTTGACAAGGAGGCAAAACTTCGTTAATGACTGATGACACAATGCAATGCCCATGGTGTTATCGAAAACAGTTTATACAGATTTTAAAGATTGGGGGAAAAAATGACAGTAGAAACACAAAAGTCACACGTCCAAAATAGAGTGATGTGTTGTGTAACAGTTCGCGAAGCCTTTAAACAGTGTCACGCAATGAACTTTGAAAAACATCTTCCATCAAACTGGACTCTGAAACATGCTTTAAATCACATCCTTCAGAGTTCCAGGCCAACGGGCGTTCGAGGCGCTGGGCTTTTTCTTTCCTCTTCTTCTTCTTCTTCTTTTCTTTAATGCAAGGGAGGCGTGCAAGACATGCGAGATAAAAATTTGGTGAGCTACCAATTTATTGATCCTTCCGTTCAAGATGACCAACCAGGAGTAAACAGATTTCCATTTGAAGTAAGAAGAAACACCGACGATCAATCTGTAAGCTTCAAACTGCAAATTCCTTCTTCTGAATGAACACTGAGAAAAGATTAAAACTATTCCATCGCGATATGTTCAGGGTTAAGAACAGTTGTCTGATATTGTACCCAGAACGAAAAAGAACACTATTAAATAAACAAAGAATTCCCCCTCAAAGTCAGGGACAGGGAAAAAAAGTTAAAGAGTTCGCTATTTCTATAGTGAATATGAAATACGAAATAAGTTTCGAAATTTAAAGCATTCATGCAAATCGCAGAAAAATAACATTGATTAGATACAAGTATAAGATAACCAATATCAGTAGGGTTCCCTACAAACGTGTAGGATAGCTCAGAAGTGATAACAAAGGTATTCTATTCTTATAATAAAACATAGTTTGAAAAAGTACCGAAAGGACTCAAGACTTAACCGAATGGTGTCACTAAGGGTTTACAGCATAAACGGTTATTGTGGATGTCATGCATTTTCTGAGTTCTATACGTCCTCTAGCACACCACTCTGAGTGGAAGTCCAACACACCCTTGAGCTTGAGCCAACATCGGCCTGCAAAGCCTTATATTGAAATACAACTCTCCACAGCATGAAACAATTAAAAGTATGGCTTAGTTCTCCCCCCTGATACATCGAAGGGTCAATCCTAACACTCACTGGGCTACAGTGACTGCTCACAGGCACTGATACACAACCCTAGGTAGAGATTTCTAAAATCTGATTACTCTGAAACTCAGAAAACCGTAACACTAGAAATACATGAGAATTGTGATTGTGTTTCAAGGAAAAAGCCAATCGGGTTTAAGAAACAGCAATAGTAACCAGTCTCAGGATTTGAGATTTGCTCGCGTGTCTTGTACTTTAAGGAGGCCAGTCAGTGCGCAACTGGACCATCAGAAGTTCTGTCAGAATCAAATCATCATCATCATTCATTCATTCAATAGTAGTATATCTACAAATTCAACGATATGGTTGATCGAGGAGACCTCCAAGAAACCACCAAGCTTCTAGAGGGGCCTAACTCGGTTGTCAGTATGTTTGTAATTAAGTTGTGGGTGTGGGGCTTGGTCGATGGATGTTGGGTGAGAATTCCAAATTTCAGGGCTTTGGTAGTGTTAACGGTTTTCTGAACTTAACATTAACACCACTACCATTTATTGAATCTGAAACCTATACAGGAATGGTTCTGATCTTGTTTCCCAAACTAGGGCCCTACGCAAAGAAGGCACTGTTCACTGCAAGTTTACGTAGGAACTTCGCCCTGAATTACAGCGTAACAACATGACACCGCGTGATCATTCACTCGGAATATGTGCTGCATGCTTTGTACAGTACGAATATGGACGATTACGACTTCCTACGACCTTCGAAATATGCAAATTAGAAGAAGTCTTTCAACGCCACCTCTGTTATGTAACTCCTTCTAGGGTGAAACTTCATAACAACCCCGTAGCAATCTGTGGGTTAACAGCTTACTAGAAGAAATGAGCCTGGAACAGGGAAACAGTACACATCTTCGTCTACCTTGTTTAATACAGTGTGCTCTCGATCCAAGTTTTTAGGAAATTTAACGTGAAAAAACCACTAGTCGACTGAAGGATACATCCTTAAAAACGCTTACAATTTGTCATTTTGGCTTTTCGACCCACATTTACTCTGGACTTGGAGCTATCTGTGTGATAATAACAAAACGTTGCTGAAGAAAATTTTTTACTTCGAATGTTGTTGGACAGCAACCAAGTTGTGAGTCTAAAAATTTGCCCACTGAAAATTAGTTCTTTCGTCTTCGCATTCCAAGTTCTCTTTAAAACGTAAAATTAGAACCAGAAGATTTGTAGGAAGACTGATGGAACACAGGTATCAGTCACGTTTAAAAACTGTTCCAAATTCTACCTTTCAACTCGCTCATAATACACATGTACAGAACCCTTTAAAAACAATACGACGAGAAAAAAACAAGGACATGGTCAAGTATTTCTTAATCAAACCAATTTTCTCACTCCCAGTAGAAGCAAAACAAACAGCGAATCTTCTGGACTGAATAACCGTTGTGTTCTCTACGAAGGCAACTGTAACATTCTGTGAGTAACGGTGCATCGACATTCTGTGCATAAAATCGCTGGAGGAACGAGTTTCACCGGCCATACTCACGAACCCTCCCTAACGCCTATTATTCAAAGAGAGTTAGTTCTACCACACTAGACTACTAATATTCCCTTCCCCTCTTAAATGTACACGGTGAAAACGCAGTCTGGATCCTGCAAACAAGTTATCTCATTTTTAAAATTTGATTCCCCGAGTCCAACAGTCTGCGTGTCAGAGCGACAGCGAATGTAGACATCACGAAGTCAGCGCGGCCCTGTAATACTAGGTAGAGCTTTCTTCGACGTTCTTTCGACTGTTTCAAAGCACAGGAAACTAGGAGAAACTTGACAAATACCTGTTTACGTTCAACGGACGTGATCATTTGATCACAAGCGTGGTAACGCTTCCTCGAGGAGAGTCGTGTGGTTTCGATCCGCGAACGAACACTCTACCCCTTATCCAACAAACAAAATGGCGGTCTAACTGGAATACGTCTTGTTCTTTCTAGTCCCGTGATACGACCTCAGAACCACGTCATAATCACAAACAACATGGTGGGGTATTTTGCGACAATCAGTGACGAATTGAAAATGTGCTTTGCCTCGAGTGATGAATATTCATGCTTGAGCTAGTGGTTTCCAACCTGATTTCTCCTACATGTCGCGTAAATTTCTGGAAAAACCTGCCTAAAGCTAACCCGTACATCTGTCACGAAAACTGACCTTAAATTTTAAACGTGACACACAGCTCAGGCGAATTACAAACTCTTGATGAATTCTTGAACACAGCGTCGAGGCGATTAAAGTTACTCAAGCATCATCAAGGAACGCAGCGCTGCACCACAGAACAAGCATCGGGTCAAGAGGTTGAATATTGCGAATCATTAATTCTTTCGTTCTTACAAGGCGTTTTCCACTTGCAAGCGTCCTTTGCTATTTGTGTCAAGACGTGTGCAAAACACAACTTCTGTATTATACTGCCACGAGCTAATAGTATTATACATTAAGAACCGATGCATTGCATCGACCTCGCTAGACGACCCCATCCCTATTCAGTTCTGAAATTTATGCGCTGTGAGTTCGATGTGTGTTTCGCTTTTGGTTTGTAATGAGCCTGTTACTTCTCAAAGAGGAAACAAACGGTTTCTAAGCGTCCAATTTATACGCCATGTTTCACTCTAAAAGAATACTTCCGAAGCTGCAAGCCTAATCAAACAGCCATTTACATTGCGTACTCTGAAATACGTCTCGGAATTCAGTAACTAAAAGCACATGATATCCAGTCTGTTCTCGCGTGGCGTGTTCTGTAGTCTGTGTGTTAAGCTGTTCATCTTTGACTAAAGTAAAATTACCTTCTCATCAGGGGATGCTTCTTGATTACCAGCAGAGTTTTCTTTCTCCGTTTCACCCACGTGAATCCCATTAGAGCACCTTAGAAGAGAGAAATAACAGAATATTCACACGCGATTCAGTCGATTGATCACGGAGACGCCAAGCATGTTGCTTACAAAGATTGCTCTCTTCCTTGAATGACCACACGATCGCTGCCGTTTGACACGCCAAGAACATCCCAAACATTTCGATCAGCATCGTCAGCCATACTAATGAGGAATGTAAGACAATGAACCAAATGGAAACCATAAATTGGGAAGCATGGCGCACTCGACAACTAAAGTTACCCTGATCTCGAGTTCAATTGCTTGCTCATTACCTATACGTGACGTCATGCAAGTTGCGGAGAATTTACATATTGAGTCTGCGTGTATTGTCATAGGCAAAATAAAAAAACATATCTTGACTCTATAGTTATTCATTAGTCAAAAAAAATAGTTTTCTCTCACTCTGCAAGGCATATCAAAATTCGTGCTAAGGTTGTTAAAAAAATTACGGATAAAAGCAAACCTTTATGGTAATTTCAGGACAATCGAGAACAAAAAATTTGAGCCCGCGATATATTATCTCGTGACCGATTGCAAGATGGCGACGAAGCCAATCGTTCTTCGCTTGTTCCATTTCCTCTTCGTTTCAGCAGGTAAAACATCGACTCGTAATTCTATTTTTGAACTGAAACAACCATTAGTTGTCTTTCTTCCATATTAGATACTTTCAAAGTTGTAATCGTTTCCCCTGTGGAGCAAAATATAACATAAAATTCATTCTTAGGCTCATTATAGTTAACTTAAATATTGTTCATAACCATATCTCGAACTTCTTAGTCATCGCGTTTGATTTTCATTCTCATCGATTAATTCGATAATGCATCTCATAATTGCATTCTAAACCAGCATTTTTTCAAAGACATTACAATTTTCCTCGCTATTTAACCTAATCATAATGCTATCCTCACTGACTTAGCTGCGATGTACATGTAAATCGTAAGCGAAAAACCTTCCCACTACTTAGATTTCTTTTTTACGTTTACAGTTACAGGCTTATTAAGGAACGGGGAGGATAGCTTCATCATTAGAGAACCAGGCAAGGTACGTCAATTCCGTTGCTTTCTTCTTTCTGGATGGTAATTATCACGTTCGAACATGGATCTTTTTGTTAAAACTGTGATCATGTGCACATAATCTGAGACGAGCGATAACTTCGACCTACTAGTGTCTAAAGTAACGCTTCGATCGTGCTCCAGCTAAGGTGATGGTACAAATTCCTTGTTTGTCTTTTTTCTCTTATGAATAGTGCGCCTAGAACGGCGCGAAACATCGACCGTCGTGGTAGCTAACAATCTGAAGTTTCACATAGTGATCTCGTCATCGGTTTTCTTTATCCTAAGCCATCGAAAATCTTAATCTTGTTCTTTTTTTTCCTCTGCTTACAATGCTTAAGTTTGCGCGGTTTCTTGATGAAGTGCACAGTTTTTAGTGTTATATCAGTTATGGGATATCCACTTTGACGGACATGAATTCCTTTTCAATACACTTATCATGTGAATTGACCATTCCACTCGAAGTGACATATAAATCCTTTTTACTTTAACCGATTTGTTGTGATGAAGAGTAAATTTAATTTTGTTTATGCAAATAATGGCACACAACACAAACCAAATTATTAAGAAGTTTGTGTCTTACAATCATGTGTCCAATTTTAAATATATTTCTGGAAGACATGTTGCTGTAATAGTTAGCAGAATAGAAGTCATATTTGAGTGTCCAGATTCAAGCTCTGGTCAGGGTCATTGAGTTCTATTTTAAATGCAGGCCACTTAACTCTCACCGTGCCTGTTACCTCACTGGAATGTAAATAGCACCATTGAAAAGACAGTGAGACCTGAAGATAGGCTGGTGTGTGATGAGAGGGAGGAGGGAGGGGGCTACTATGGAGGGATATTCCATCCTGCATCTCCACAAATATATTTGTCAAATAAAAATGGCCCAAGTACACAATGCTCAAAAAACATACCTTTTCACGTTTCTAGATACAGAGATACTTATTGGTCTGTAGACCCAGCTGTATGAAGAGTTTGTTAAAGCCCTTGTAGTGTTGTACTTTGAAATGATAGGTAGACCTTAAAACATTTATCTTAACCCTTTAACTCCCAAGATCTCATTAGTAATTCTCCTTACTGTATATACACAGTTGTTGTGATGTTAGTTTGGAGGATCTGGTATTGGATCAACTTATAATCCCTTGATTGATAATTTCTCTTTAATTTGATCACTTGTCTACTTTATATTGTATTGAGATTGTAAGGAGAAATTCTGTCTTGGTCACTTGTGGGATTTAAAGGGTTAAGTGCAGATTATATACAATTCACAATGAAACTCGTCGTGAGCATATTGAGATAACATTCAGAGTTTACTGTCGGTGTCCATTTCGATTGGTGGTTCTTGTGTAGACAATTTTTGTTGCAGAATAACATGGCTCAACTGAAAAACTTGATACCTAACTATGTATGCATTTCAGCCTCATCAAACATGCCTTGTGTGAATCATATATGTCTGAGATTCTTTTGTTTTCTTCCTCTGAAAACGCGACACTTCCTAATTCCATTTTGGTCCAGGGTCAGTTAACATATTGCTTTGATAAGAAGGAGCAAAGTCTAATGTGTCACAATAGTAATTTGGAAGGATGTATGTGTATGTTTGACTTTAGAGGGTGAATAATCATTCTACTTGCCTGATGGGTAAGGCTTTTCCTAAGTGTGTTTACTTGTCAGCATGGCTCTACTCTTTTCATTTCATTGTGTGAAAGAACAGTGTATGTGAACAGTCCAAAGGAACTTAAAACCCTTCCTTTTATATTCACCCTTCAATCTCATTTTACTTCCAAAAATGTCTATCGGTCAAGAGTTCAAGTAATTACATTAAAATGTGAAAGAATGTGACCCTATGTAAATTAAAGGCAAGTGGTCCATCACCAAAGCCCTTATCAGATTCCTGAAAGGGAAATGACTAAGAGTCTTAAAACTGATGAATTCCAATCAGGTCAAGACTTCTCTCACTTCTAGAAAATCAGACCACACAACTACAACTCCTAGGTGCAAGCCATTTACTGAAATGGCTTGGATTATTGGTTATATTCTGAGTTAGATGCCAGAGTGCTTGCCTGCAGTTTTTTTTTAGTTTACATGAAGATGCTCGGGTGTTGTGATGGCATATACATGAACAGACAACTTGGGAGAGGAACTGTGAGGTGCAAACTATTTCTTGTAAGAGGGTAATTTAGTGTTTTCAACTGAGTTGATAACGTAAATTGGCCACTGTAAAGAGGTTAAAGGCTGATGATTTGAGCATTAGCCCTTTTCCAGAGTGATTAACAAAGGGCTAATGCTCAAAATATCAGCCTTTAAACTCTAAACAGAGGCCAATGTATGTTATCAACACAGTTGACAACACTCAATTACCCTGTTATACTCTCCCACTGACACACCACAGTTTTTTTAGAAACTTACCAGTATCCCATTTCTAGTAAGGGTCTCACTAAAGATCATGATAAGGGAGTTAACAGGAATTTCTTGTTAAAGAGGGTTCAAGTTTTCAAGAATCAACTGTAGATTTCCTTTCAATCTTTCTAGGAACTGGAATGTATCATTTTTGCCACATAATACATTAAGATCAGTAATGAACATCTTTTCTGACGACTGGATAAACATGATATAGTTTTTTTAAAACTGTACACAAGACAATTCACTCTTACTACTCATCACTGTTTCTCTGGACTGAGGCAACCAGGACCACAGTACTCAAACTGTATCAGATGCTAGTCCATCACAGGTTTTTCTTCCATAGTATCCAGCTTTCCCCCCCCCCCCCCTTTTTTTGGACTTTTTTCCTTGGGGTAGAGAGAGGCTGGTTTTTCCCACTTACACAAAACCTTGTAATTTTATAGAGTAACAATTTCTGTGTTGTGCTGAACACATCATGTTACTTTCACGTGACTTCACGATTTTCAATGTGGTGATAAGTGTGTTATTTATGAAGAGTATTTTACACACATGATATTGCTGTAAGGTGACTTTGCACAGTTAGAAGCTTGTTTGTTGATTTTCACATTAATCCATCATTAAAAACTACTGTTTCCTCATGTGAGGCTTTTCTTGCTCTAAACATGAAGAAGTATTCGGACAGGAAAAGCTTTCTTTTTTAAGAGCGAAGTTTATACAGCAGCTCAACGGTCTAATTTTTTGCACTCTATGAATCATTAGACTTTTTTAAGCGCGAACTGCATATAATTTTAGTACGAACAAAGAACACTCCATGTAGGGAATAACCATAGTAAGCGTGCGAATTTATCATGCAAAGGCATATTACAACAAGTACATTAGAAGTTTTCATTTAAAACAGTAAAAACGAGTAAACGAAATGCTAGGTTGAATTGATATTTGACTGTGTCATAATGAGACGTTGATGTCCAAAGTTTCAACAAAATTGAAATCTCTTCTGTCGTTTTTGTGTATTTCTTTTTAATGATTTTTCTCAACGTATACCCACTCACACCCAAGCTAAATTGCGTTTTGACGCTGTTTGTCAAACACGGTTTGAAATTTTTTTCTTCACTTTAGTTGCTTAAACTCCCGTTTGTCGTCTTCAACTTTAGCTGACTGAAAATGTAAAGTTAGTAATTACTGGGGCCCTGTGTAAAATTTAGTCTTTCAGTTTTCTGTCGCTAATTTTTTTCAGTCCAACCCGGTTAAAACAAAATTTTTTTGCTTTGTGAATGGGGTATTTAATTAAGGATTTACCCGGCGTCTGTTTTACTTGTTAAACAAAATGATATTACACGAAACAGGCCATGTTACCGCGACTGACGCAAATTAGAAAACGTTTCACTCGTTGCAGAAATTTGGAAAGAAAATTCAGGTATTGCATGTCACTCTTTTGGGTAAGGTTATGGCTGAGAAAATTCAAATCTTTGATGCATTTATATACCAGAAGATCTCAGAATATTTTTTATATTTGGATGAACCTTTTTAGGAAAGAATGTTATAGTAATAATCAATTATATTTTAATGTCAAAAGGAGATTTTTTGGAAGTGTTGGAAGATTTAGTTCATGATAATTCGTCTAATTAGGAACACTATTGTTGATAAAACTTCACAGAATTTCAGGTTTTGATACTGATTCTTTGTGACCGTAATATTACGAGAGAAGACACTTGCAACGTGAGCAAAGACTCACTTTGCAAGGTGACAGCTAGTGACTGATATTTCAAATACCTGATAATGGCCCTCTTATAGTTTGTCGAATCGTTAGTAATTATTGTGAATAGTCTTTTTTCAGGGATTCCGCCACCAGCACGATGAAACTTCACGATGAATTGTTACTTCTGAGTTCAAAACATTTACTGTTTTTTGATTAATTTACCTTCGAAATGAGCCTTGAAGCGTTGTATTTACCCCTTAGTGTAAATGATTTAGAAGTGACATCTCCTCAGAATTCCAACGCATAATCCAGAAGTCTTACCGACAGGGACAGCCCAGCAACCTGCCTCTACTTTTCACTTGTATGTTTTTTAATGTGTTGAACAATCCTTTTTCCCCCCTAGAATTCAGATGTATCCAAGTTTATCATTGCCCACACCCCAAACTATGTGACATTCCTACCAAACGCTGGAGCAATTCCCTCGAATGAAATTTCCGATGTTATGGCACTCGCCATGGGATTTTCTTCTACTAAGGTAAGCTAGTTTGTTCTGCCTTAACAGAGACTAAGGTTCAAGTACACGACAGGCTGTTCATGACTGGTGTAGATGTTGAAATGTGTAGTGTACATTAACACTGCTCGTTAATATCCCTCAATGGCTTCTCCTGCCCTCATGCCTTTGCTACGAAGACAACCATGAAAAATGGTCATCTCAGAGATGATAGTGAGGTTTGAATTCCAGTGAGTGGTGGGAATTGAAGATAAATTTAATTTCCTAAATTTTCGTTCTTCTCCTCTTTCTCCGACGATGAATTAAATGTAAATCGAGTCGATCTTTTGGCCCTTGACTCGAATGTTAGACATTTTCCCCAAACTTGAAATCAAGACTCTTCTTCATCCTAAATTGTGTATTGATAGCGTTGGGGTCATTAATGTCCATAGGAATTGAGCTGGGGTGGTTTGCTAGCAGGAGATGTGTTCCGACGACCCAAAGCTAATGTGCTGATTACGGTTGATGGCGTTACAAAAGGTACAGTAATTTACGAGGCTATTTTAATGTAGTTTTTTTGCTTCTGTAACAATTATGTAAGTTCGTCGTAAAGGAAGACGTCAACTTTTACAACGAACTTAAAAATACTTTTCCTACACACAGGTTATTGATATGAATCTTTTCTCCTTTTTAATTGAATATTGTCGTTAATCTTGACGCTGTTTAATTTGGTCAATCTTTTTGTTAGCTTTTTAAGTAAAATATTTTTCTCTTTTGTTGTTTCTTAATGTGCGTGTTAGATGACAATTTTGACCTACCAGGAAGGGTTGCGTCATATCCCGTAGCAGAGGTATGTGAATGCAGTAGACTTTCCAAAAATACATAATTCTGTGGAATTAGAATTTGACCATCTTGCTTGTGGTCTCGATCTATGGACCTCTCGTAATTCGCTGGCCTTCCACGTTGGGTAAATTTTGGGTCCACGCCCTGAGGCTATCCACTGCCTTGTGCTCTTAGGGAATAGATTGAGGCTACAAAGCTTCCAGATTCCTTTGTCCGATTTCAACCTGAATGGAAAATTTCCTATGTGGACACTCTGGCCTGGTTTTTGTCTCAAAACTTGAGGATCACTCCATGTTCACCATGTTAAACCGAGCAGAAATTTCTCATGTGCACCGAGGCGGCCCAGTGGTCGGGCGGATGTAGAGAGGCTAACGATCGTTGTTACCAGTTTTTTCCATAATTATGCTACACCACTAAAGCTATGCGCCCTACAGGGAATATAGAAGGGAGATTTAGAGCGACGAGAAATTAACCTTCGCTGTCACCTTGAAGAGAGACTAAAAGAAGAGTGAACAATTTTTTTTCATTTCTTAGTTCGAGGGTGTTGTGAGTTTGGCTGGAATTCTGTCCACGTCAAGAGCCACACACGAAAACCTTCCGACGCGCGTGGCCAATGTGTTCGGTGGCAAGTCACTTACAGTTTCCATGTCTGGAAGTGAAGTGGTAAGTGACGCCTTGTGTTGTATGTCCGTTCCTATGCTATCAGGTGCTACAGGCCATGGGGTGTAGGGGAGGAGTAAGGAACATGACCAGGTGCTACGGATAATGGGGTGTCAAGGGAAAGGTCAGGAACATGACCAGGTGCTACGGGGTATGGGGTGTCAGGGAAGAGGTCAGGATCATCACTAGGTGCTACAGGGTATGGGGTGTCAAGGGAGGGGTAAGGAGAATTACCAGGTGCTACAGGGTATGGGGTGTCAGGGGAGGGGTAAGGAACATCACTAGGTGCTACGGGGTATGGGGTGTCAGGGGAGGAGTAAGGAACATCACCAGGTGCTACAGGGTATGGGGTGTCAGGGGAGGGGTAATGCACATTGCTTACCACACTGAAAAGCTCAGCTTCCTGTTCTTGATTTCTATTTGACGGCCTTGTTTCATTCTTTTTTTCTCCTTTTTTATTTTAATCGTGTGTTTTTGCCTTTTTTTTTTTTGTTTTTTTTTTTATTGATTGTTTGATATTTATTGCATCAAACGGCCCAAATTGGCGATTATCGAACTTGACAAACGCACATTTCTCGTGCGCAAAAATGATGCCAATCCTGGCCTACTTTTAGTCAATGACTCCTTCCTTGTGCCTTGTAGCATTCAACATTTGTACTTGAGAAAGACAACTAGTTGGAGGGTGGGGTAAGTTTCTAAAGCAACTATGGTGCAGGCGTTTCGAGCGTCAGCCCTTCTTTCATTCGCTGTGACGAAGGGCTAACGCTCGAAACTTCAGCTTTAGAAACTCTTTACGGTGGCCAATTTACATTATCAACTTAATTGATAAAACCAAACCATATAGTTTGAGGAAGATTGGGTACAAAGGTTAGCGCAGGTATGGCTTTACCGCGCTTATACATATTTATTATAGTAATACAATTTGCTGTGTTTCCATGTTTAGTTGGCGGCTGCTGGTCATACAATAGGCTCAAATAGTTACACTTCGTTTTGGAATCAGGCCGAGAACAAGTTTGAACAGGCCGAAGAAAACACCGTGCAAGGTCTGGGAGACTTGATAGTCACCAAAGACGAGGTAGGATTCGAGTGAAGCAATTAACGGATCAACAGCTATCCTCGTACAGAAAAAATTGTTTTGGGTGTTAGCACAGCTTGTTAAATGTGGCTTAAACCCTTTACACCCTAACATCAGTTTGGATAGTCTCCATACTATCCTCTGTTTATTTCCTTAGATGCTGACAAGTAAAATTTGTTTAACAATGAAGAGTTTCTTTAGTTGATGATCATGTCCTTTATTCTCATGACCTTAATGTTTGATTCAGAAAAGATGGTGTAAGGAGAAATAGGATACTAATCACATATTGATGAGGTGGAATTTGGGACAAAGGCCCTTTATTCGTAAAATTGCCATCTAAAAGATACCATGTCTCGCCATGATTTACTGTAGTCAAACTCAGAACAACTAAGTTAGCAGACCGAGTGGCCGGTATTTCCGTAAAACATATTCGCGTGAACAGTTGGTCAGATTTTATTGAATTAAACTGACTCGTTTACCTTTAAGGTAATAAAAAGACTGGAGAAGGCTGACTTTGGTAAAGGTATGTTTCTTTCTTTTTTTATTAAGCAGTCCTCTATGAAGCTGGGTTGGATTAAAACATATAAGGAGATGTACACTTAGAAAAAAATATACACGTGTAATTACTTGTCTTGTTTGGTCGTCAGGTGTAAAGTTTGCTCCAAGCACCAAAGAATTTACTGTGTCGGTGCCTTTGAAAGGAAATGCTGTCTTCAACATGGAAAAGAAGGTTTGTCATCTTTGCTAACCAAGTCTCCTTTTTAAACTTTGTAACAAATATGTTTTTAGTTTCATTCAAGAGATGAAACTTTTTGGTTTAGTAAGCATGTAATATGATCTAAACATATTCACAAAAAAAACAAACAAACATGCATTTGTCATCTCCAGTTGTATGAACTCACTTCCGTGTCAAAGAGTGCCACTGAATTTTCGCGTCATTTTCTCTTCAGGAAGATTTTCTACTCTTCGCTGAGGTCGATGCCATCCTTCAAATAATAGAGAAGGTGAGAGATTTATCCTCAGAAGAGATCCCTTTTGCGATGGCGGGCAAACTATTTTACCTCTGCGTACATGCTAATAGGCTTACTTGGCCTCGTTTTTGAGGTGAAAATCGCATTCTTGTAATGTTGAAGGCAAAACAAGAATTCCCAATTTATATGAATAAAAAAAACAACAACAATTAGCACGCGATTATAAAAGAAGATTTTTGTATTTTCAAGAAACTCACAATTTCAGAACATCTTTATAATTCCTTGTTTTGTTTTGCAGCTGAACTCTGATCCTAGCCTTGTGCAAGATGGCGTTCCAGATGTGTTCACTTTGGGTCTCTCCTCTGTTAAGGTAAGGTTTTGCTTAAGCTCTCTCACACGAAACTAGAGGGTTGCAGTGTAATTTTAGTTTTTTAATCTGTGCGTTTGTTTGACTGATATTTTTTGTGCTCTTTTTTCCTTTTTATTTCAATGTGTTTGTTTTATACACATGGCTCTATTTTTTACTTCTATTGTTTTGTGATTCACAAATTTTGCATATTGCTTTGCAGTTAAATGCAACCTATAACTTTCTGGATTCGAATGAGTTAAATATTGTTGTTGTGTTCCAAATTTGAGCTTTTCATTTACTCGCAATGTTTTCCTCCTTATATGCACTAAATGGTTTCTACTCATGCCTCGTTTACAGGGACTTCGCCGTCGCTATGGTGACCAATCCTTACAGGCAGAAGGAGCTATTCAATTTTTGAAGGACATGATTCCCCAGGTAGAGATCATCAAATGGTTGCCTTGTTTCACCAAGCACCTTAACCGCACCTTAACCGTACAATTTTAAACCATTTCATTCCACTATTCTATCGTTACAGATTGTGAAGAAGTTCTCTGATTTATACAACGGAAACGTTCTGGTGGAAGTTTTGTCGTTGCAGTGGCTTGGGTAAGTTGATAGCATTTTCTTTGTTATATTTAAAGAAATTTCTGTATACTGTGGAAGCAAATGATTAATCGTGGGAAGTGCTGTTACTAACCTGTCTTTTAATTTCCCCCTCCCCCTCCCACTCCCAACAGTGATCTTCACACCAGATACCCACGAGAGGTGCACGCCGTCTATCAAGAAGTTGAACCTCACCTGTTATCACAGTCAAGGGACCTTTTCCATGACCAGCTTCCCTCTGTTACGCTCAGGCATGATCTGGTGAGTAGTTGCTGTTGTTTGAGTGGAATCAGTTATGTTTGTATACTTTGTTTTTGTGCGAGTGAATTTTTAAGGTTTTATTGCTTGGTAAAGCAACATTCAATAATGGTGCGAAAATTGAGAGTCTTTGCTTGATTTAATTTTCTGACTCCCCCACTCTTCCTTCCTTTTCATTCATTTCCCTCTCATGGCGTTTTTTTGCGTCACATCACTGTTCACCGCTCCCTCACCCTACCTAATCCCAACTCTTTTTCTCCTCCCTACTCAACCCTCGTCTTGATTCCTCTCCTCTCTCCATTCCTACCCCTCCCCATCTTCTCCTCTTATTCTTTGAACCCTAGACCTGGTACTTCTCTCCTTCGTTGGTCTCATTCACTTCCTCCTTCCTTTACTCCTCCTACAGACCTTCCCCTATCTTCTTCACGTTTTTTCCTTTCCCCCTCCATCCTTCTCCTTCCCACCCCTCTCCTCATATTCTCCGTTCCCCTCCCTTCGCACCCCACGCCCCTCCCATTCCCCTCCTCCCTTTTACTGCTTCATGTCCTCCTCCTCCTACAGACCTTCCCCTATCTTCTTTTACTCTTTTTCGTTTCCCCTACTCTCCTCTTATTCTCCATTCTCCTTCTTTCACACCTTACACCCCTCCTACAGATCTTCCCCTATCTTCCTTCACTCTTTTTCCTTTCCTCCTCCATCATTCTCCTTTCCACCGCTCTCCTCATATTCTCCGTTCGCATCTCTTCACACCATACACCCCTCCCATTCCCCTCCCTCCTCTCACTACTCCATGTCCTTCCTCCTCCTACAGACCTTCCCCTATCTTCCTTCACTCTTTTTCCTTTCCCCCTCCATCGTTCTCCTTCCTACCCCTCTCTTCGTATTCTCCGTTCCCGTCCCTCCATACCTTGCACCCCTCCCATTTCCCTCCTCTCTTTCACTACCTCATGTCCTTCCTCCTCCTACAGACCATCCCCTCTCTAGTCTCCTTTCCCTTCTTACCCCTCCCTTTTCATGCCCCCTCAGGTCACCAATGCCTTATTTTCCACACGCCTTCCCCTTCTGCTCTTTTTTCTACCAGAATACAATTGTGTTACTATTACTGTTAAACTGACCAGATTTTCAATAAAGTTGTTATCTGGATTTATTATTGAACAGGAGGAACAAGCGAAGCAGTCGTTGTGTGAGTCATTGCATAATAAACTTCTTTCGGTACAGTCTGCTCTCAAGGTATGTGTCTGGTTGAGTATTGTGTTTTTTAGTTATCAATTTCCTTCTCGTCCCAACAACAACAACCTGGCAGATCGCGCATATACTTATCAGAGAATTATCAGTGTGGAGAAACGAGATTGATAAATTCACAAACTTACTATTCCATAGTATATGATGAAAAATGTTTCAACGCGTTTTCAAAATAAACGACTGTCTTCTTTGGATTGAATTTATACAGCGCATGCGCAGGGCACTCCATGGTTTCTTGTATCGTTCCCAATTGTTCCTATGTACTCCCTAATCCGTCTTTTTCTGTTTCTTTCAAGTTATTTTCTTGAAATTTTTTACAACGGCGTTTGACGGTGCTGAAACTGCCCATTAAACTTCGTCACCCATGTTTTTTTCAGATATATTGTAATAGAAAGCCCAGAATCCGGCGTGCAGTGGACAGTGATCCACAATATCAGGTACAAATGTATTTCAGGTTAAACAAGTAGATTTCTTCGGCGTGGGATTGATCAAACCTTAGTTTGCAAATGACAAATGATGTCTTTAACTCCAAAGGAAAACTTAGATGAAGTTTAAAAGTTGACTTATTCACTGGCATCTACCACTTAAAAAATAGTCTATTTATCGATATGTTACTCACTAGTTATTGTTATCGTCTAATAGGCTGGTTCCGACACTGATTTGGGCAAAGTGAACTTGGCCACCGAATACTCCGAGGACTATCCCATAATATTCAACATCTCGTTGTGGCTGCTTGTAGTTCTAGTCATCTCCTTATATGTAATATGCCTAGTGATGTGGTACATGGATCCGGGACGTGATAGTATTATTTATCGCATGACCAGTCAGAGAATTAAGATGGAGTGACTCGGTGCTCAAAGTGGAGAAACTCTTGGCAACAACAGAATTAAAACTGATTGACACACATTTTGAGGTTAAACAAACTGAGTAGTTGAGTATCTTATGCAGCAGTGATGGAGATGTCAAGTATTTTCTTCTTCTACCGAATGGTAATTGTTTCCAAAGTACGATCATTGCGATGATTTTTGTGTCAAGGTTCAGGTTGATTCATTGGGAGACGAGATTAAATTTTTTGTTTGTTTGTTTGCAGTTACTCTGGTTTTTATTTTGATAATATTTTAGAGGTGATGAAATTAAATGTCTTTCAATTATCTTGTTTGGTTAAGTTAATTATCCTCAAATTTGTGGGTTATGCTCACGTGTGAATACTCATTTACTCAAAGATGATGCACCATATATCAAACAAAGTAAATTTTTGATGCTTCTAATATTTTCGCACCTGTAACGCATATTCGTTTTCCTCTTTGTCGTCGCAAGCTTTCTTAATTTTTCAATCAATGAAGACTGAATATAGCTATATATATAACTATACACTCTCAAATCAACAAATCTTTGAAAATAACCCTGCCAGAATCGATATGCTGCTGTTTTGTACAATTCGATCGTTTTCGTCACTTTCGAATACATGTCGTGATCATACCATATTTTCTGAAGTTCTCAAATCTGTCTATCAGACGAACTGTTTAACGAGATGAAGGTAATGTTACAATCATGAAGCAACTATGTAAACTCCTCTGCCACGTGAGCATGACGTCATAAGGATCGCCCCTCAGTGCTATTTCTTAAATTTACCTAAAAAAGGAAAAGGAAAGGAATAACTATTTTTCTTTCAGAGAATGACGTCAGCAGGATCCCCGCCCCCCGAACTAGTTCTTAACTGCCCAAAAGGGGAGAAAAATATTTGTTTGCTTGTTCGATGCAGATGCACTCCTTCAAAACACGTATTTTGCTGCGCAATTTGCGTTACACTGTAATTTTTTCCAAACATTGACGCTAACTAGTTTTTTAAAAAAAGGTTATATATTTTTTAAGATTTTTTCGAAGCAATATACCTAAGTTCCGATGATTGTTTTCTCAATCCAGGCCCTCCCCGCAACGAACTCTGATAAAGGGCTCAAAGACAATGACAGAGAAAATAGCGAAGATAAACATCACCGACAGGTGATAGGAGTCGTTACCTTGACGCGATCGGTATTCGAAATTTCTTCCACTGAATGTACTGCCGCTGTAAAAACTTTGAAGTTTAACTGTCCGAAAACTTAAAGGATTATATCTCATGAGATTACTTCAACAAAAAGAAAGACTTTCTCAAGGAAGTGGAATTGTGTCGAGGCCTTTTTCTCCAGTCAGCATAGTTCTCGATTGTTCTTTCAAACCCTCCTGTCATCAATTCATCACGTGGCAGAAAACTGAAAACCCGGCCCACATATGTTTTGACAAGACAGCGGTAAGGCCGTGAGTCAGTATTGTAGTCGGCGATTCCATCGTCATTAGAAGTCCCCTTTCACAAGCACTACGGTAAGATGGCAGCGAGGAAATTCGTTGGACTTCTTATAATAATTTCGTGTATAACAATAGGTGAGTGTAATGAATCTTGATTTTCATGTAATTTTCCGATATCTTAATGGTAGCACCTCGCAGAAAATATTTTCTGTTTGAATAGTAACTGCCTTCGTGTTCAACAACAATCCGGAGCCAAAATAAAGGTTATCTTTCTTCTATCGTTTACCAACGCAAAATTCTTTAGGGGTTAGTATGAGGGAAACCTGGATTTGGACCCACAAGATAATACTGCCAAGCAACCCTTAAAATAATATCTACTGCCACTTAATCCGCTTTACGAAAGTAGACAATCAAGTTACGACATCAAAGTTGATTTCAGAAAAAACGAGAATCAACTATGCGAATATGCGTTGTAATCTTTCATGATGAAGAATTTGACTTGATTTATTCAAAAGGATGATATCTACAAACCAAACTGAAAAAATGCTTCTTTTCCGGTCGCCTCTTCTGAACTCCCCGCGGTGATTGATGCGTAATGTAAAATATTTTTAACTCATACCACATCAACAACTGTGTGTCAGTCACGCGATAATTATAAGATCGTTCTTTATGAATAAAATTTTTTAAACATAAAGCTCTGGAAGATACACTACCAGTTAAACAACACAATCGTTGAATCAAGAAGTGTTCTTATACAATATTGGTGATCAAAGTAGCGTCCTCGATAGATATAGCCCACGCTTACTTTCATTTATTTTAGTAAATGAAACCTTTCCGAGCGAGAATGAAAATTTGGGATTATTTTTTTCTTCATTTTTATGCGTTTGCCCTGATAGGGTTAGTGAAATAACATAATCCAGTATAATCTCAATCAGAACCAAATAATCCGTTTGGAAATGTTATCCTCGACAGAGCAATCGGGCTTAAGGTGAAGCGAAAAGTTCGTTTACGAGTTGATGACAGGTTTTCTTAGGAGTACGTCAGCAGAGATGGAAAAGATCGTCAACAGTTTCAAGTGTATTTACATAGGAAAATCATTCAGCCATTTTACGAATTTTTCACTTTCTGCGTAATCCTTCATCACATTTCCTTCTATTTATACGTGAAATCAAATCCAGAGTCTTTTGACCGAGACGAAACGCCGCGTAATGCAAGTCAGGAAGTAATCAATTTAAAAAAAAATGATTTCACTTTCGACTTTTGATTAATTACATGGGACTTTCGTGGCAATTTCAGATGAGTGCATATACTGGTTAAGTTGCATCATCTGACTGAATCGCAGGATTGAAGTCTACTTTTTTCGATGATGTAATCAATGAAAATGACCTAATAAAGATTTCGACTGTAAAACATTCTAACTGATCATGTCCGGTATTCTCAGGGTTAAAAGGTGAGGAGGGAGGTGGACGAGTGGAATTCTAATATGTTTTCATTTAATAGATTATTATTGTTGTTATTATTATTATCATTATTATTATCATCGTTACGGTTATAATCATTATCATTATTTACTTTTATTATTAGTATCATAATTTTTATCATGATTATTACTTTTGTCATCAATATCACCATTTTTTCCCCTGTCTCCTTCGTCTTTACTCTCCGCTTCCTTCTCTCGTAGCTCCGGACTCTTTACCTGCCTGTTTAAGAACTTTTGTTGCTATACATTACCAGCACCTTATTCTTACCAAATTGCCTTTATCTTTTTATTCTATCTTCATTTACGTGTGTCGCTACGTTTAATTTATAGGATCTTGTCTGCAGTGTTACAGTTGCGTTCGCGAAGGCAATCCAGACGCTGGAGGATTCTGCAAGTTTCCATCATCATCTGAACTGGGAGAGAACACTATTGTCAACTGCAGTGAGGGTCAGAATCGGTGCATGATCACAAAAATGATTCAAGATAATAACGAAGTTACGCTTTTTAAGCGAGAATGCGCCAAAGAAGGAGATTGTTCGAACAGTTGCACAGATCCAGATGAACAGATGAAAGATGTTGTATGCGACTCCTGCTGTGAAGAGGACTTCTGCAACAAAGGAGAAGGACCGGTACCTGAGGCGGCCAAAAAGTCAGGAGCATCGCGAATAGCAGTGATCAGGGGCCTATACACTATCGCGGGCTCCCTTTCGTGGTTCCTTTGGTAACTTTGTCGTGACCGCTGCCGTTTAAAATATATTTAGTCTGCTCATGTGTTTGTTTATCTTCATGATGTGGATTTTACCAATTTATAAGCGTATGTCGGTTCAATTAGCTCTGTATTATTAGTAGATGTAATTTTTGTGATTGTGTGAGTTAACAGAATAGTGGGAGAAAATAGTGGTAGATCAGCAAAACATCCCATCTGCTCTCACAAAAAGGACCCTACTCTTCTTGATCATAGACATCCAGTTAACATGAATGATTTGTATTGCTTGGTTAATCAAGAGCAGTACTATAGAATAATAAAACACACCTATCAGTGTCTCTTGACGGGTTTTGTCATACTAAGCAACTTTTTGGGGGGGAGGGGGGTGGGAAGGATCGAAAAAGATACAACAAAAAAATAGAGCGTGACACAAGTGATCTCTGGGAAAACCGGTTTAGACCGGTCGAGCGAGCACGAGGCGAGTGGAGAAAAGTGTAGATGTAGACAGGAGAGGGCCAAGCGAATAAACACGTTGTAAAATACGCTGTATGAACGTCGTGATATCGTCGTGACTTAAGCATTAGGTACTATTCGGCGTTGAATATATCTAGAGGACATTGCATATGCATGGCCGCGCGAAGATACGAATTTTATCTTTGGGTGTTGGTGAGAAAAGCGAACGAGTTAGAGATATCATGAACACGAGGAATGATCAGTGTACCGAGGATTTAGATTTTCTTTCTTTTTACAGGATGTAGTTTATTTTCACAGGTCGTTGCTCAGCTGTGTAGACATTTGCGACTGAAAAGAAAGTAGAAAAAAATTATAAACGGAAAAAGGTTCGTTACAATGATGATATTTGTTTAGGTTGAACAGCACAGGCTATTACTACTGGGCGCGAATAAGCGTAAAGTGTCAGTTTTGAGCTGAAGTGTAATGTTCTAAAATCGAACAAATTCGTTTCCAACATTTTTCCCTCAAGATAGACAGCCAGAGCTTTCATATCACGGAAATTCATCTCATAGTTTGTGATCATGACGTTATTTGCCATATCGTTTAGCCTCGAAATAGCATAAGTTTCCTGGAAAACGCTTCCTCGCAACAACAAATAGAGCATTAACCGCGGGTATTGGGCCGTTGGTAGTTTTAGAAGATTACTCAGTTATCAGGTTCTTAAATCCTGAAATTCTCGCTAGGCCCTGAAGTGGGAATTACAAAGGGAAATCCTTTCTTAGAAAAAAGGGAAATCCCCCACAATATATGTATATGTATATATAATCTGCGCTGACAGGAAGTCTCCAGACAGGAGTTATACAACGTCTCGTTAAGAGTTCTTGTTATCGTCCATCTGAAATCGTTTTAATCAGAAGCGCAGAGGAAAGATGCTTTTGAAGGCAATCATTGGACTGCTACTGGTTTTTCTGTGTGTGACATTAGGTAGGGAACAAGCTTCATAATATTTATTTTATCCACTCATATATATCAATATCCGGACCTCGACCGACAGAGAAATTGTTTAGTATTGTGCAGTCAACTTCGATTTCAAGCCCACCGCAGCCAAACGAGGTTCTTGGTTTTATTCCCTTTATTTCGCAAAGCGCAAAGCCCGTCACGGGTTCTTCAGTTGCGGTTCATGTCTGATAGAAGGAACCTTTGAACCGTTCAGTTTCGAAACAGAATAGCTCCCTGTTTAGGATTTTTGCGAAAATAATCGTTCTTCCCTTGCAAGGACTACGTAACAACCCTTTTGTGAAAACACAATTTATTCAAAGAAATATTTGAGGGTTAAATCGTCCTCTTACTATTAATGGGTAACAGTATCTACAAACGAAACTGATAACAAATTTTTCTTTTTCCGGTGGGCATTTGTTTTTGCTTTCACGTGGTTTTTGATGATCACGCGACCCAAAAACTTGTTCCATTTTCAAATGTGCTTCATTGACATATTTTGAATCATTTTAAAGTATCGCGAGAGTTGCCTAAGCTGATAAGAGAAAATTAGCATAATAGAAGTAGACTCACACCCGGTAAAGATGTTTATGATAAACAGGAGGGAAAGAGGCATACAGAATGGCGAAGATTGACAAGAGTTTTATGATATACCCTTACTTTTGCGAGATAGAAAACCTCGATGTAGCTTTTAAATGGTCTTTAGGAAATAAAATCATCTATGGATCCATTCGGTCTGATTAAAACTGTTACGATTCAAAGAAAAAGTTAAATGCTCATGTTGATAAGGCGATGAAACGCCTTCGGTAATATTACATCATTCATCAGAACATAAGCAACATCAGCCAGATTTTCCGGTTTTCGCTCCCGTCGATAAACAGTCACGCGCTCTGCATGGGAAGCGAACGTATGTATGTATTTAGGTTTCATCTGAATCCATTCAGATGTGGACTGTTTTTTTTTTTTTTTTTTTTTTTTTTTCACCCTTTTTGGAACCGGGGTGTGCAATCAGTTGTACGTGTGATTTATGACTGAAAATAGGCGTGCAAATATCACTTTCCTACTTTTTTGACCCACGGTGAGAGGCCAAGAAGTCTGCCCCGCAGAAATAACACACTTATACCGAATCGTGCCATACTTTTTTGTCATCTACATCCTGTTTCTCCTCCTTTCAATCTCAGGATCCTGTCTTCAGTGCTACAGTTGCCTTTTTGAAAACGATGCTGGCAAATTCTGCAAATCATTATCAAGTGGGCTGGGTCATAACGCAATAAAAAACTGCAGTGCGAATGAAAATTCGTGTCGTATCGATAAAATTATTCAACAAGACAAGAAGATAACCTTTTTCAAGCGAGAATGCGCTAAGGCAGAAGACTGCACCAACACATGTTCAGATCCAGACGGAACAAACGGCACCATAATCTGTGACATGTGTTGTGAGGAGAACCTCTGCAACAAAGGAGAAGGGCCCACTGCGGAGTCAGGAGCATTGAAAATCGCGGTGATGAGTAGCTGTTATACAATTGGGGTCTTCTTCGTATGGTTCCTTTTGTAACCTTATTGCAAACACTGTCTTTTAAAGTAGTTTTAGCTTTCCGCGTCTTGAGTAAGATTCGATGAGTAAGATTTTAATTTCGCTGCCTTTTTTTTATTTATTTCTTGTTTTGTATGTCAAGATATATGATTGGGTGAGTTGAAACCATAATGATAAGTAAACGAAGTCCTTCACCCAGACCTTCCACTGCCACATTTCAATTAAATTACACGGTAGAATCTGGTAACGAGATTAAAGTACAAGTTATGATCGGTGTCAGACAGAATGGAAGTCACGCATTTCTTTCGGATCAAAAATTATGCTGAAATCAATTCCTACGCGCCCCTATCTTCTTTCAGTTTGAAGGACCTCCTTTCAATATCCCTTAATGTCTTGGATGCAAGACTACCTTGTCATACAGATAGAAGACTTTGATAAAGTTGCGCTATGGGTTTATTCTTTTATGGGAAAATCAGTTGGATACACCTCTTACAGAGGATCATCAAATAAAGATATTTATGTGTTGGAATCACCCTACCATATGTCATTATACTAACATTGTGTAAATTAATAAATAATTAAAGTAGTTAAGTAGGTTTTTCCGGCGATGTTAAGAACTTGTTTTTCTTTTCCTCTATAATTCGATAATAAACAAGGTTACTAGCTGTCACTCTGGTTCTCCTTCTTTTTACTAAGGGGGAGAGGGTAGGTGAGGAAGGTTTGGACTTTCAACCCCCCTAACTAACGAAAGTTTGATGCCATCATAGTCCGACGGCATTTCACATGATCAGCCTCATGCACTCGGCCAATTGGAAATCATTCGCCCGATAACTTCCTGAATTGTCATCCACTCAGTTCGAGTTACCAATCGAACTTGTCCTAATTTAAAAGCGGGTTTAGGAATCGTTGAAAGAACAGTTCATATTGCTGAACACTTAAATACTCTCGGCCACTCGTAAGAAAAATTACTCCTAAGATCAGATTGTTTTTCACCCTCATATTATGCCGGCGGGAAAAAATTTTCAAACATTCAACAAACAGTTAAACAATCTTGAAGAGAACGTCCTTGGGCCAGTCTTTCCATAACCTTATTATTCATAGTTGCTTAACAATGCGGCTACGACTTTTCATTTGTATGTAAAGTATGTCATTTATTCAACATAAATCAACGTAAATTTCCAAAGGGGGCAACATGAATCACCCCCGGTCAGCCTTTCTAATATACACGCTTTTAGAGTTTGAAAACAGTAGCATCTCGGACGGCTTAAAGCTCTATATATTTCCAATAAGCTAGCGCTCATGAAAACTACGATAGTTATCGTGTAAACAGTAAGTGGGAAAATCAACACGTGCATGGCCTTCGTATTTGCAGGAACATGCGAAAAAGTCAATTTACCAACAATTATTACTGAAGTCTTTTTGGCTCACCTCTAAAATTTGACATATATTTTTACTCTTTATTCGCAAGTTTGAGGTAAAGATTGTTTTTCTTTAAATCCAAGGCAACTTAACCATTCAGGATTTTCTTGGCAAAAAACTCAACAATCTGGTAGTTTAAACAAGACTGAAAAAAAACAAGTGTAAAAGGTTATGGTTATTCATCGTGGTGGATAACAATGAAAGCTAAGTTTTTCGTTTTTCTCACGATGTATCACGTGCGATGTAGATCGCAACGTTTTGACTGCATACCGCCTGAAGAAGACAAGCAGTATGCAGTCGAAACGTTGCGATCTGGCTACATCACACGTGACTACATCGTGAGACAAACAAAAACGTAGCGTTTACCAAAAAGTAATTTGCAATTCCGATTACTTTCGATTGTGGCTTGTCTTCGAAAGAAACATGGCCGCAAAATCATTTATGGGACTGTTGATATTTGGCTCGTGCCTGGCAATAGGTATGAATTTCTTTTAATCTATGATTTCACTGCTGAAGGAATTGCAGCAGCCTTGTGTTGGCAGTGATGCCTTACAAGCCGCTAAACACCTTACACAGAATAGCCATAATAATTTGCATCTCGTTCGATTACTGACTTCGATTACTTCTTACTTGTACAAATCATGCGACGAATTCTCTAGGAAAGCGCACCGATGAAGAAAGTTTATCTTTGGCCGGTAGTTTAGCGAGGACATATCAGCTTGTTAGTCTCACACAATTCGATCCCTACTCGAGCAGTATTAGATTCGACTAAATCATTTCAGTCGCAGTCGCTTGAAATTACAAAACCGCTAAGTCTCCTGTGAGAAGCAAAGACCTCCTTGATATAACATTCCCTTATGATGGTCAATACAAAAAAAAACTTATAAGGAACGGTTGCTTCAAATGAAAAGTAGAAAGAGCTTTTGCTCGATAAGTATCGCATCGTGTAAATTTCTTTTGTCGTGTCGATTCGAAAAGTAAACAAAATCGCCGCGAGGTGCGTGTGTTCAACGCTTCTGAGGTCCACAATCTATCAATAATAATGATAACTTTATTGGATTACACAATTATTGGTAGAACCAGTAGTTTTCATCGTGGTCCTCAAAAACTTCAAATTTAAATAGCAAAAATACGAAGAAAAAATACAATTAAAAATTACTTATAGTAAAATTATCAACTCTGGAGTTCCTATCTATTTATTTCTTGTATAGTTGATTTTTAAATTTACAAAGGGAAGTGAGACCCCTTGTAGTGCTGTCTTGGTTGTTCCATAATCTAGTGCCGCTTGCAAGAAATGAATGTTTGCCGGTCATGGTACTAAAAAAGGTGTGGATAAGTCCATATTAGTTAACGCCCGAGTTGTGTAATGATGTCTATATTTAACATAATGAATATAATAATTAAAGTTATCAGGACATTTCCTATGGATAATGTTATGCATAATACACAATTTCCTTTGCTCTATTACGTCACTAATGGGGATCCAACCTGATCTCTTAAAAAAGGCCAACTGTTCTTTCAGTGCTTGCATTTAAAATTACTCTGGCACAACATTTTTTAATTCTGAGTAGCCTTTGTAAATTATCAATCTAAGTGTTTCCCCACACTGAACAACAATATTCGAAGATTGGTTTAATTAAGGCGTTGTATAGCAAATTCCTAAGTGATAGATTCAGGTCATTTCTGACTCTTTTAAGAAGATTCACCCTAGGATTTAATTTAGTGATCATGTAATCTATATGGCTATTGCAATTAATATGCTTGTCTATCTTCACACCAGGCAGCTTTTCGTTGACGGCCTCTTCGATTTCGGTGCCTCGCAACGAAAGGTTAAGCGATGGGTTTGTGCAGTAGGAAAGTTTTTGCTTGGTTCCAACAAGTAGTTGTTATGTTTTCTTTGCGTTTGGGACCATCTTGTTAAGCGAGAACCAGTGATTCGCTTTGTTGAGACTTCTTTGAAGTCCGTGTTGGATATGCAAAGGATTAGAATTAGCCATCCATAATGTAATGTCATCGGCGTATCCACATTGCAATCAGGTATCGCAAGTGGAAGGTCGTTGATATACAACAAGAAAAGGATGGGACCCAAAATAGAACCTTGTGGAACGCCTCGAGTAATTGGTAGTGCGTCAGACAATGATCCATTGATACAACATCACTGAGTTCGATCGTGTAGGTAAGACTCAAACCACCGCAGAGATGTATTATCGGTGTGGTACATACTGATTTTTGATAAAAGTAAGCTGTGATCTACCAGATCAAAAGCTTTACTAAGGTCCAGCAGTACCGCGCCGACAAGTTCTTTCGAGTCCATAGCTTTGAGCCAGTTGTCAGTAAGACTCAAAAGTGTTGTTTCGCAAGAATGATACGGGCGATATGCTGACTGTATACTATGTAAGAGCGTATTCGATGTTAAGTAATCAAGGTATTATCGAGTAAAATGCCTCTCCAGAGGTTTAGATTTTACGGGCAGTATGGAAATAGGAAATTTTTTCTATCTTGGATTAAGTTGTTCTTGTGAACAGGAGTCAGCTTCGCTCTCTTTAAGTTGTCCGCGAAAGAACTACTTGCAATACTAGTATTGTAGATGTGGGTGAGAGAAGGAACGAGAACATTCAAAGCTTTCTTTAAGTGTTTAATTCCGATTCCATCAAGTCCTGTGGCTTTATTATCAGGAATGTTCTTAAGATCATCAACCACCTGTTTCACACTAATTGGCGGGATGTGGAATACGGTTGAATTATTGATGCGACTTTCTACAAAATCAGTGAGTCGATGATTTTGTTTGTTTGTATCCACTACTGGGATAACCGTATCTGCGTTTTGTTGGATATTAGTAAAATGTTTATTGAAGGTTTTGGCCATTTCCGTAGGATCATAAACACTTTTATCTTCCGTCTCGATGAATGAAAAATTGGAGGGTGCAGATTTAGTTGGAGCAATTCTCATGAGAGTTTTCAAGAGTTTCCTTGGATTATTCATATTTTTGGAGATCTCGTTCCTCACATAACCCGTCTTGGCCTTGGCCATTGTCTTTATCACCTAGTAACGTAATCTTTTGTACATTATGCCTGCAAGAATGTTTGATTTGGCAAGTGCTTTGAACTGGTCTCCACGGTGCATAAGCTGTAAGATGTCATTGTTCATCCACGGTAATAAAGGCGTAAGTTTCACTCTTTTTCTTGACAATGGGGGCGTGTCGATTCATCGCATCGTTGAAAATCCATTCCCAAGTGTCGAGCTTTTCGTTAACATCATCAAACATATCGAGAAGAGACCATGGAGCATTGTCAAGGTCAGCAACAAACTCATTGTGATTCAGGTTTTTAAAAATTACGGTGAGAATTGGTGAAATTATCTATTGATTTTGAATTGACAAAAAGAAAATAGTGCCGTCTTTGTTTAGGGCCAGGGTTAGGGTTAGGGTTAGCTTTGATTAACGTAGCGTTAAATTTTAATGTACGCCATGTTTTTAAGCATTCAATTCAATTTTTTGTCCTTTTTCTTTATTTTTAATTAACAATGTAATTTGTTGTCCTTTGCGGGAGTGTTTGTCAATACACAATAGACACCCAGAAGTATTTGCGTGAAATCAATAATTA